TCTCACCAGTGTTCTGTACAATGGCATGAGCACTTCCCTCTTTGTACTACTAATACCTCTCCCTATACAACCAAGAATTCGGCTAGAATTTCCTGTTGATCAGTTACATGGTTTACCTACTTCCTTTTTATTTTTCCCAGTACTCCTGATCAATAATATTAACCTTTCTTGACACACGACCAGTACCCTGAACATGATTAGAACGTTTTCAGGCCGCTTCACACCAAGGAAAAATAACGTAATGTTATACCTTGCTCCTCTTCCATTATTGGTCGTCCTCTCAATGACATATGATTTAGTTGTTCCAGCCAGTGTTAATTTATTTATTTAGTTTCAGTCATAGTCTTTTGACTAAAATGCCATTTTAGTTTTAGTCATATTTTAGTCATTTGAATTGTTTTGGTTTTAGTCTAGTTTTAGTTTTAAATCTTCAGAAGATTTTAGTCGACTAAATCTCCAGTAAATTTTAGTCGACACGACTAAAATCTAATGGGTTTAGTTAAAGCTTCCCCAGCCCTTCTGAGTCTCTTTGTGTCCTCCCAACTCCTCTAGTTGTCTCTGTCCCAAGCCTTGGTCTGTCTCTTTTGCACCTTCCCTAGCCCCTCTGTGCAGTGTTAATTTTGCCGGCAAATTTCAATTTAGTTTTAGTCGTATCTTTGTCATCTGAATTGTTTTAGTTTTAGTCTAGTTTTAGTTGACTAAATGTCAAACAATTTTTAGTGAACTTAAATTTGACTAAAATTGTTTCTTGACAAAATAAACACTGGTTCCAGCATTATTTTTGGTTAATACAATAGTTGAAGGAGCACTTCAAGCACCATAACTACTTTAACGCACCATAACTAATTTTTGTAAACACAATAGTTAAAGTAACACTACAAGAACCATAAAAAGGTTAATGCACTTCGGTGGTCCCACAACATAAGTAACCAAACTGTTTATTAATAGTTTAATATCTTACCTGGGGTCCACTCCCTTCCTCCACTGCAGCAGCCCCTCAGCCGACAAGGCTTAACTCAAAAAAAAAGACAGCAGTGAAGGTGAGAGGGACAAGGTGATTTTGGTCTCAAAGAGGAAATGTTCATCTGAAATGCCCTTAAGCACCAATGCAGACACATAATTAAGTGACTGACATTGCAGCGCTTTCCCGTAAGCCTGATAAGACTGGACTTTGAAGGACTGGTGTTCAACACCACTCACTGTTATAAATCCCTAAACCAAATATATTATTATGAAAGTTATTATTTTGGTCTTTTATGTGATGAATAGATCAAAATGACACCATCTGCAGACTACAAATGTTGCAGGGAGTCAGGTTGTGGAAAAGACTATTGATTTCAATGGTGCCACAGTATAGAAGAAAAATGCCACACATTTTTTATGGAGAGAACTGGAAACGCACTCTTCCAAAAAAAAAAAAGAGTGCTAGCCAAGCCAGGGTCAGCACTACCCTTGTATATAATAAACCCAGAAAAGGCTTTGGGCACGCCAAAGGCTCAATATCAGTGGAACATCGTGTAAACAGCAAGATTTCGACCTCTCTCAAGGTCTTGACAAACAATTCATAGAGAAGTCAAAACATTGCTGTTTAAACAAAGTTCTTATAGAGCTGCTTGACATTGAACCTTGTGTGCTAGGAACCTTTTTTTTTTTTGTATTCTTTATTTTTGTTGTGCTTGTGAATACATAAAAACCGACATTGCCACAACAGCATATGTAAGCAATCATAGAAGTACACAAGATACAATGCTGATAAGACTTCCTTATTCTGCACATTTTTGTTAAAGTAGAGGAGAGAATAAGATATTACAACATGTCTAGGAAATCGGCTGTTGCAGGGCTTTCAGACAAGACAGAGAAGCAAAGTTTAATACCATTGTATATATAATACACTGTAAATGTATGTATGCCAGTTTAAATTCAAAGACATGGTGATTCAATGTGCTTAACATGCTAAACATCTTGAAAGGTGAGAATATAAGTTTAGGATTTTCCACCTCAGGTGATCCCCGTGCCAGCAAGATGACAGTCAGTGACTATGTGCCATTATAATCGCCTAAATAATGAAACAGAGAGGGACAAAAGCCTGAAAACCGCTGTAGGAGATGTAATCTAGGTAAGTGTCAGAGTGGTAGTCCCCAAGTGTTTAAATTGCGTCTCAGCCGACTGCCCGCCGCGGGCAGAATACAGATCCCACTGGCCTTGCTGATCTTCAGGTTCAACACCGCAGCTGCAGGCAGTCGGCCCATGTATTTCAGCCCCCACGCGGCAGTCTCTGAGGTATGGCAGCTAAAGCTTGGGCGCCAGAGCAGTGTCTCATTTGGTGGGCTGTATACTTGGAGAGGCTTGATGATTGATTTGCAGGTGCCGACCTCCGTTGGTCACTTATGTGCTGCTTGCTGTGCCTCTGGCTTCTCCGTCATAACCTGGCTTGTCCCAGGATCAGAACCCAGATTCTAAGATTCTTAGCAGGCATCCGCCGATTTCCATCCAGCCCGTGCTGGCAGTCCGCTAGTGTGGAGTCGAGTGAGGAGGGAGCGTTGGTCTGCTGGTGTCTTTGCACATATAGGGGCCACAGGCTGAAGACCGGGATCACCTTCACTGGTCCAGAGAGGGGGGAACAGGGCCAGTTCCACATAGCCTTGTGCTTCTGGCATGACGCTGCTAGGCAGGATAGTAGGGCAGCGGCCGTCCACCCTGCTCACCGCCTGAGCGATCCCCATCTTAGATGATCGAGAGCACCCCTCCAAGGGACTAGAACTAAACAGAAAGCCTCTCCTTGAACCAGGATGTCTTCTTGCACTGGGTCACAGCTGCCTGTCATCAGGTAGGTACTAACTTGGTGTTTATGAGCTAAAAATTAGAAAAGATTGCAGGATCTGCTCTGTTGTGTGTCCGGCCCCGCCCCACTGAACCCCTTTTTTTTGTTTGTTTACCACATATTTTTGTAACTTGTGCTTGAAATGGGAAATATCTTCTCCAGAACAACAACAACAAGAATGTCTTCATCAGGCCACTATTTACAAAAAGGTTTTACTGATCGTTAAATCCCCAAACCCCTTTGGTATTGATTCCAGTGAGTGAGTAGTCTTCCATATCCGTTGCCCTCCTGTGCAAGTCACAGATCTGACGAGTTTCCATGAATTGTGTTCAGTTTCAAGATGTTAGATGGAGAATGGGTACATGATAAAAATAACATGCAAGTGAAATGGAAAATATATCTGCATTATGCAGTTTTGTTTTTGAGTTCAGCAGGTTTTGGGCAAAACTCCTGATCAGGAACAGTTGGACCATGATGGGCATACACACTCTACCCTTAGTCTGGGAGATACACTCACCTTGAAACTGGTCTCTTAGATATAGACTCTAGGCCAGGCTATCCTAAATACAATCTTTATTTTTACAATCTTTATTTTGAGATTTAAAAGAACACTTTAGAGTCAGGAACACATGTATACCCCCTGGCCTTAGATATAGTAAAATCTTAATCCTATTCCTGTCTGCTGGTGCTGGCCTTGCCCCTAATCTGCCTGCTTGGCTGACATCCTGATGTAGGAAAGCATTGGATTGGCAGAGATTGTCAATTCTAATGATCTCAGCCAAGGAGGCGGGCCAGTGGCGGAGCCAAAGAGCACCCTGGCCAATCAGCATCTCCTCAAAGAGATGCATTGAATCCAGTGGCGTACACATGACCCATGGGGCCCCGGTGCGAAAATTGATCCGTGGGCCCCCCGTGCGCGCAGGCCGGGCCGCAACACATGGCGGTGGGCACCTGGTCGCAGGGGTTACAGGGCTGCGACCCCTGCGATCGCGGTATGTACCCCAGTGCATGCAGATGCACACACACTTAAAGGACCACTACAGACACCCAGATCAAATCAGCTCAATGAAGTTGTCTGGGTGTCAGGTCCCTCTAGTTTTAACCCTGCAGCTGAAAACATTCACTGAGGGTTAATCCAGCCTCTAGTGGCTGTCTCACTGACAACCGCTACAGGAGCACACTGAACGTCCATAGGAAAGCATTGAGTAATGCTTTCCTATGGGCGGTTTGAATGCGTGCGCGGTCGCATTCAGAGCTGAGAGGCTGAGGGATCCCCAGCGCCAAGGGAGTCCGGCGCTGGAGAAAGGTAAGTGCTGAAGACACACACACTCTCACTTACAGACGCATACACACTAGCTAACAGAGACACACTCAGCGACAGACATACATACACACTCTAACACTCACACACACACTCTAACACTCACACACACACACTAACACACACACACTCTCACACACACACACACACACACACACTCTCACACTCACACACACACACTATAACACTCACACACACACTCACACACACTCTAACACTCGCACACACTCACACACTAACACACACTCACACACACTAACACACTCACACACTCTCTAACACTCACTCTAACACTCACACACACACACACTCACACTCTAACATTCACACTCACTCTAACACACACACACACACACACTCACTCTAACACACACACACACTCACACACTCACACACACACTCTAACACACACACACACACACTCTAACACTCTAACACTAACACTCACACACACACACACACTCTAACACACTCACACACACTCACTCTAACACACACTCTAACACTCACACACACTCTAACACACTAACACTCACACACTCTAACACTCACACACACACACACTCTAACACTCACACACACACTCACACTCTAACACTCACACACACTCACTCTAACACACACACTCACACATGTTTTTTTTTTAATGTAATCCTCCCAGCCTCCTTACCTTTTGGAGTGCTGGGGGGATTCCCTTGTGTCCAGTGGTACTGCTGACCCCAGCTGGCGGATGGCCGGTCGGGCAGGCGGGCGCGCGAGGGAGCACTCAGTGCTTCCTCTTCAGCTCCCTCGCGCGCCGCGTAGGGATGCCGGAGCCGGAAGATGACGTAATCTTCCGGCTCCGGTATCAGTGCGGTGCGCGAGGGAGCTGAAGAGGAAGCACTGAGTGCTCCCTCGCGCGCCCGCCTGCCCGACCGGCCACCCGCCAGCTGGGGTCAGCAGGGCCAGCCTCGGGGGGCCCTGGGGTGGTCGGCTCCTGGGCCCCCCAGGAGAAGAGGCTGGTCCTGTGGCTACATACCGGGTCGCAGGGGCGGCCGGGCCCCCTGGTGGGCCGGGCCCGGTCGCAACCGCGACCCCTGCGACCCTGGTATGTACGCCACTGATTGAATCAATGTGTCTCTATGAGGAACGTTCAGTGTCTCCATGCATCTGAGGAGTGGCCACTGGAGGTGTCCCTTGTCTGTAATGTAAACATTGCCTTTTCTCTTAAAAGACAGTGCTTACTGAAAAAGGTCTGCAGGAACTGACTATTTTCACCAGAACTAATACAATAATAAATACAATCGAAATAGTGTATGGCGCTTCACAATTAATATTTCAAAAATAATAATATAGGTGGATGATGTGACTGATATAAAAGTGCTTCCCAATGGCACCAAACATAAAGAATCAGAGATAAATAAAGTATACCAGTCTACATGCACGCTCCAAATGTGTGAAATGGTACAAAGAATATGAAAATACTACCATGAGCAGAAATAAATTAGGATAATATCTAAAAAATTAATAGCAACATAGTGTAAACCGTTTTAAAAACAAAGAACAAAATTATTACTTTGGACTACCACTCACATTTCACAGAGCCGTAACAGGCTCTGTATAGCAGGTTCAAGGGTGCCAATTCAGACTAACAGTGCCAGTTCCAGTAGTAGATAATGATAAGGAAGGACTTGGAATAGGTTAAAAGTATATGTAATTTATTAAATCAAAAATAAAATAAAGTAATTACATTCTCTAAGTACCATGGGGGTGGAACCCTGCATAAAAAACAGATATGAAAAATATATATATCAGCCACTCACCCCTATAGCAAGTCACTCAGAGCTCAACTATAAACCTCAGTCAGCAAACGCGTTTCGGCAATCAGCCTTCTTCAAGTGCTGGTTCCCAAGTCCTCTCTGGCTCCTTATATCTGGTGTTTCATCCTCACTCATCTGTTCATGGTTTGAAAATGCCGGCTGTAGTTGTTCTGGTGATTATAGTGTCCCTTTAACAATGAAGTTATATAGGAGTGAACAGCAAAAAGGCAATTATTCTTCCTAAAAGAAAACTGTAGAAAAGTATGAACACTAGTAATATTAAGCAATCCTAAACAACCTCCAGCCTAGACTCAATATACCCATTGTACAGCGCTACGGAATTTGCTGGCGCTATATAAATAATAGCCAGCATAAATCTAGGGGTGACACTTTAGGCACACACTGTAACAATACCTTCAGCCACACTGGTGAGGAACTCAATATAGGCAGTCAAAGAACCAGCCTCTGGAGAGAGATACAGAAGAGAAAAGGCAAGAAAAAGAGAAAAGAATAAAAGAGGGGCGAGGGATGGTCTAGGGAGAGAAAAACTGAGAGGAGCAGATCAGAAAATAGGTGAGGAGAGGTGGGATGAGCCATGGCCTATAGTGAACTATGTACTTATGGAGATGATTTGAGATATTAAAACTAACTCTGCAGACATGTACAAAGAGTACAATAAGACCACAATAAAACTACAGCAATGTAATAATATGGTGTGCTACAATATATATATATATATATATATATATATATTATAAGCCAGGATCTAAAAGAGATGGGAAAAGTGATTGTTTTGTGAATTAGATTTGTATTTTGTGTTTCTATAATCTCTGAAACTGTATTTCGGTGATAAAATTAGATATATTACATAGGTTCATTCTATTTAAACTATTTATCAAATAGAATAAAACTCACAATATATACAGTTCATAGCAGCTTGGCTAGCACAATGTATATACAGTATGGATTGAATCTCAGACCGATTTTACTTGTTTATTTTGAAGGAATGCTGTATGTACATCCCACACATTCCTATATTCTTTTAATATCCGTCCTTACCATTTCCCAGTGCTTTATCTATGGAGACAAAGGTTATGATACTCAGCTATATTGTCTATTGTGCTTTTTTTTAAAAAAGACAACAATACTTATCCTCTCCGAAAAAGCTTCTCTACGCCCCATGGGAGGCCATTCCAGGCTTTTGCTATAGTTTATAAAGCAAAGCTTAAATGCAAAGAAACAAAGATCAGTTACACAAAACCAATTAAAACATCCACAACTGATACACTCAGAGAATGTGTCCATTCACCCTGATACAGGTGGAACATTGGGATCCAGAGACTTCCAGTAATGCTTATCAGACAGGTGGCCTTGGTGCCGAAGGCAGTCATTTACTGAATGGGGCTGTGATAGCGACTGTAATTGCTTTGATGCCAGACCAGCAGAGAGCTGACTTTATTTGGCCTGGGGTCAGGGAGGGGGGCTAATCTTAGATCAAACCAGCACATTTTTCCACTACACCCAACTACTTTCTTAATGTTATATTAAATGTGTTATACAATACTGCAATAACTAGAATATAATAATAGTAAAAAAAAAATACTCTTACATAATATATTTATTTTAGTAATGTGATGTTAGACAGCAGCCCACAATTCCCTTCTGTTTTAATGGCCCCTCTTGCCAGCCCTTCCAGTTAAACATTAATTTACTTATTGGGTGCCCTGTGCCATACTTGCTGCAGCTGCTGTAGTCCTGCGGTAATATACTCTGTGAAAGCCACATGTTATTATAAAGAATGTAGCAAACAGTGAATCTGTTAGTTGTCTGTATAATATGAGCATTATAACCAGGTTCCTGGAGCTACATTCCCATGGTAGGAAGTCCCAAGTCCTGTTAAAGTGTAGCTGATGTTCACATGCGAGGCAGGCAGCTGATGGCTAGAGCACACTTTGTCCACACATTGTCTATGTCCAACTGTATGTGCAGACACAACAAATCCATCTCTGCTCTGCAGGATCCCTCCCTGCTCTGAACATGCTGAACTGCCTCCCAACCCACTGCTATTGGTGAGCCCGGCCAGTCACATGTCCCTGTAATCTGCAATCTCAGGCTCTGTGTACAGTTTCACTAAAGGCTGTGAATCTTTCCTGGACTGCCAATACTCCTCAGCAGGATCCAAGAGTCTCTATAGAAAGAAAACCTGACCCAGTCTAGCTTTGCATGACAAAGGCTTCCAAGTGGATACAATGTATTTCTCACTTATCCTCACTTTCCTGTGTTCCTGGCATATTCTGACTGCTCAAGGTAAGTCTAGAGTAGACCTTGTGACTTTTATTTTTGGAACACTGGCTACTTCAGTTTGTGTGGACTGACACTTCGAGAACAGAATCACTTGTCAACACGTGTCAATATTACTCCATCAATATGTAGTCATTTCTAGGCACAAACCTCATGTTGTGTTTTATTATATCTTGCTTGTCTTAAACCGCTTCTGCTACAAAGCTGCTTAGTTATTCTATTCATTTAACCCCTTCCAGGTTCTTGTTTGAGTTTGTTTTGAATGAACCCACGAAGCTGTGTCCAGTGCATATAGCTCGGTTGTATAATTGCATGGATGATTAGATTATATGTAGCTGTAGTCTCTTTACAATGTACACATTCATTCAAAAAGCGTTAAACCAGGAATGGAAATATTTCTCCGGAATTAAACCGCATTACAAGGAATTATCCTGAGATTATAAAACGATTCATTGTCAGAAGCCTGGCAACAGTTACACGGAGGTCACATCATACAATGTATGGACATAGGAATTCCACATTCCTTTTTAAATTTCCTCTTGGGTGCAATGAACTTTATTTCATTTTGACTAAAGAATGTGTTTTTTATACTGAAGCATCCCTGACAACTAATTGGGCGTTGTGTTGTGTGAGATCATGTTAGAAACAGACTGGCCTATAGGAGAAGCCAACATGCAGTAACTTGTATGTCTGCTTAGTAATAGTAATGGATTGTTACTGGGCAGAAGCCCTTTGTTTATAGTTCTTAGTATTTTATATCTAATAAAACAGCATGTGTGGAGACAAATGCTGTCACTGCCTCCCATTGCATGATCCCATTGCTTTCTGTTAACATTGGAGGATAGAACATAGAAGCAATTATGGAGCAACAATTTATAAATAGACCATTTATCATAAAAATGGATGGTATTTACCTGCTAAATATATATAAATATATATATATACACACACACACACACACACACACACACACACACACACACACACACACACATCCTGTTTCTGCACTGACAGCATTCAATTATACCTGACAATGTCTAGACTCTTACCTAGTTTCAGTGCTATTATTGTGGTACTTGTAATTCTATTTATAATTCCACAGGCAGGACTGGATTTACAGGTGATCTGTCACTAAGACGCATTAGAACCCAACAGAAGGTGTCATCAATGTGATTTCACTTTTCTTTGGGCATGTTCAATTCTATATTGTGTATTTATCCAGAATGTCACCTGTGCATTCTGTACTAAATGTAATACTCCGCCTCATTTTATAGACCTACCTCACCCTTTCTCCCTCATTCAAAATTTTATAACACTTCTTCTTCATTTCACTTTCCCTCCAAAATACCTGTTTCATATCCTCCTCGTTTACATTTAATATTCTCATTGCATATACTTCCAGAACACCATTTAATATCACCTCATTTCCATTTTCCTCATTCAAATACCTCCATCAAAAAACACATTTCATATATTTTCTTGAATTCTCACTTCATATTTCCATGACATACTGCCATTATGCTCATTTCATATTCTTTCTCATCTTACCTATCTTATATACTCTTCCCTCATATCATCATCATCTCATACACCTCCCATACTGTCCCCTAGAATGGCCGCAGTAAATAGTTTTCATACCTGATGCACACACACAGCCTACTAATGCTTTTATTGTTCCTATTACCCAAGCTAGCTCTGTGCCATCTGTCTGCAGCTGGCACAGTGCCAACTGCAGACTTAGCTGAGCACTGACCAATGCAGAGGACGCATGGAAAAATGGTGCAGGCAATGCCCATAGCATCACTTTATGCTGTGCATCTACGGCCCTCTCTGATGATGTCAGTGTAAATGTTGAATGCAGCACAGATAAAAGTAGATGCAATTAATAAATCACCTTAACATTATAATCAACCCAATTGCATTTTGAGTTTTAAATGTACACAAGGACATGGACACTTCTGTCGTAACAATTCTGTATCACATTTTACTAGGAGACATCAGTTGGTGTGAAATTAGTAGGCAGGTAGATATCTGCTGGCTGAATATGAGCTTTGCTGGGTTATATCTATTCTCTCTTTTCATATAAAGAAACAGACTGTCTGTATATAACACACTATATAATGCTACTGTGCAGGTCACCTTGTAAGTTTTGTTTCATTAAATGGTGAGATTATAACCAAGTTGCAATATTTAGACTAAAATAGACAAGTTTGAAAGTATAATTTGGAGATTTTTTTCACCTTGACTATTTTGGTCTAAATTGTGCAAGCTGATTGTCTGCTCATCGTAGAGCACCATTTAATGATGTTATGGAACACATTTGTGATCCTCCAACACCAGAGCATCTTTTACAGGTGTCCCAGTTGTTCCACACTGACAAATCTAGCTCTGAATTCTAAGGGATCTGCAGACCTCCCTACCCCATTTGCTTCTAAATTCCCTAGTAATTGTTCTGAAATATGGGTAGGAATAGTGCATTATTGTTGCAGTGTAAGCATGCAGAAGCCAAACACAGAAATATTGGACACAGGTCTTCAGGAAGTAACAGGCCTTTATTCACATTACCGATCGGGTCTCAGATGAACTCCTGTTCCAACATTCTGAGAGACCAACACATAGTGTACATTCCTTATATAGCACTATAACTCCTCCCATTAATAGCTACACCCACATATACCTTTAACCAATCAATGAGCAGAATATAGACTTGTACATCTAGTCAAACCACATGGCTCATCCAAGACAAAGGAAATAAGTGCAATTTCAGTTCCTGCATTCCTGCACATGCTCAGTACACTGATGACAGTATCCTAGCTACATGTAGCTAACCAACTGACACAACATACACATATGCCACATGGAGATTTTGGCCTACTAAATTTTGACCATGCTGGGATCCCATCACATTCCCCCCTTTGATGCCTCTGATATAACATTATTCCAGATGCATCACCAATCACAGTTTTACCTACATCTCTCAAGTAGCCATTGAACCAGAGTAGACCTTGTAAGCATCTTAAAAACTCCTTCAACATTCTTCATCCTAAATATATTCTCTTCGGGCTAGGGGATCATATCTTCCAGACAGCCATTACATGGGCAGCTGTCTTTCTCTCTATAGTACTCTCTATAATGCTACGTAGGGACCTTACCACTAGTGGAATTAGACAGGGCAGGAGGAGGCACAAAAAAAAAAAATAATAAATTCTACTCCTCCTACTAATGTCTTAATTCCTCCAAGCTGCTCATACCAACTTCCAAACCAACTACTTAGGTTATACCCATTCCAGACCTGAGTAGGTACATGCTCAAATTTAACCATGTGGCTTGTAAGTTCAGCCACTGCCTGCCCTTCATCATCTATGTGCAGACAACAGTTACTTAGATTAAACTTTCCGCATACACCTCCTTCTACTGCTAGTAAGTAATCAAGGGCTAGCCTATTCTGGTATATGGCTGATCACATCTTGGTATTTTGCTTAGCTAGAAGATTAAGCACTTGAGCTGTGTCATTAGTAATAATCTCAACTACCGCCCGTAGTCTAATAATGCGGTTGAGCATATATAATCGGAGTTCTATATCCATAAGTGCCATCTTCTGCCCAAGTAGTAGGTCCATAATAATTAATAATACGTTGAGGGGGCCACTCATTATCTTCCCAGCTACCTGTATTCAAGGATGCTCTCTCCCTTTTATGATTTACATCGTAAACCTTAACTCCCAAGGTCTCTCCTGTTTCGATTGGCAACAAGAAGAAGGATGGCTTTGGCATACCTAATACACATGCCCCTTCCCAATCTTGTGGTAACTCCGAATAAGTTTTCTTACCACAGATCCAGTATAAATTTGCTGGGGCTTTCCAACTAGATGTAGCCGATAAGTCAAACCATACCTCCTTTAAATGAGTGTAATTGGCAAACGGATTAGTAGGTTCCGAGACATTTGAAGCTGACCACCAAGTAGTATTTTTAGTATTAACATTATAGGCTTTTTGTCCCAAGCAAGTTAGCTCACCTACAGACGTGTTATACATTGTCCCTTTCCTGGCTATACAAACATGACCTATAATGGAGGTTTTTAACCACCATTCCAATTTACTTCTAGTACTTACTTGATGATCAGACTGGAAAGGTATCTGTTGTTCATATGTCTCAGAGCCAGGGTACCATATTTCCTTTGCCTCCCATGGCCACTGGTCTCCCATATTAGTACCTCCACACACATAGCAATTAGTTACATTAAGACTACCTGCAATACCCTCAGCCAAATCAATAAATAGGTTGTTAACATTATGGGGAATTTTATCCTCAATACTCATCTCCTCATAGAAGGAATGAGAAACCTGATGAGTTTGAGTTGCCACTGTCTCAGAGCCAAGACCTACATATATTATTGTTCCTGAATCTACTCCTGTGCCATATATTTGAAACCCAAACAGACCTCCAAACCTGTCAATAAAGTACTGCAGATTGGAAATGGTCATGTGAACGGGGTTACACACATAGTTTTACAGTATGGTGTGGTAGGCAACCTTTGGATAATCATATCTTGATCCACTGTTTTTCCCAGGTTGCCCAACCTACACATGACAAATAGGGGCAGAAGTTAGTCTCTATTTGGGCAATCAGGATCAGTAGATCTTATACTGGGACATAAGTATTTATCATTAAACCCATAAGTTCGTTCCCATTTAAGATTACCACATACATTCCAAAGTCTTCCACTACCCGAAATCGCCTTACATGCATCAAATAGTAGAATACCCGTGGAATGTATGGTGCTTATCACAGTCCTATTTAGTAATGTCCCCTGGGAGTTACTATTCCGAATTACCAACCAAATTGTACGGGGTTGGAAATGGGGATCAAAACATTTAGACTCTCCTGATATTGGCTTGCACACACTATAATCAATATCCAAATATCTACATTTAGATACAGATCCCTTACATTCATACTGTGAGTGCCAGATGAGAGTTTGGGATATTTGGTTACCTGTTTTAGTAGTCTTAATGCAACTATCGCAATTCGGTATGTCTGTACTCCTACCTTCCTGAAAAATCATAAAAATACTAAGACACAATAAAACACATTATTCCTGAAATCCTCATTTTTCTTCAACCGTGCGATGGCCTCTCAGCTTCCCGATTGTGAGGGCTGCAAGGATGTTGTTCTTCTGATCCTCACTTTCCTTCACAGAGATCCCTTCAAGATACTCTGGCTATGACACGTAGGCAGGTGGTCAGGCTTTATTATGGCCGTCAAAACACCTACTTGATGATCTTTGTAGACTTTTAATTAGAATGTCTCGATATCCCCTCGTCACTCCGACTGAGTTGCACGCTTCAACCGGGTCCTGCAAGGATTCTCAGGATCTGGAGTAGTTTGCCAAGAGTCTGCTGCTGGTTTAACCTTAGAATGATGAATCCAAGGAGTCACTTCCGCCACCTTTACAGCTGTTGGGGTAGATAAAAGAACAACATACAAAGGCTAACAGGATACACCCCGAGCTTTAACTCAATATGTATTGGTGGGATATTACGAGCAAGTCCTGGAGGATTATTTTCTTCCCATACTCCTGGAATGTCAAATAAGGATTCATCACTCTTAGGGTTAACACTTGTCACTATGGAATAGAAGCGTCATTCTTCTTCCCTTGGCACCGATATCGCCATTATGCCTGGTAATCCCTTAAACTTCAGAGATGTTAATCCATTAGGTAAAAGGTTATCTGAGCTTAAAGCTTCGATAATAGATCTCGTCCTAAAAGTTGAATCGGACACTCTGGCATATATAGGAACTAATGCTTCACCACATGGCCTCCCAGAATACAAGTGCGACTCTTAAGAACCGGTCTAGCTGCACTTCTCCCAGTAGCTCCTATCACAGTTATAGTCTTCCCCGAAGGCGGAGCCACCATCTTAGTCACCACAGAATGTTCAGCACCTGTGTCGATCATGAAAGAACTTCTCTTTCCCCCTATTGCTACATCGACCATAGGCTCCGCTCGACCAAGTGGGATGGAGCCCAGTCGGTATCAATAGTCTTCCATGATAGTGTCAGCCAGACCCACAAAATCTCTATCCTCTCTTTCTCTAGGTCTCTGCGTGGGTGGATAGTATCTGTCTCCTTGAACACTTCCTCTACTATTCCCATCATTCCCTCTAAAACTTCCTCTTACTCTATAACTACCACTATAACCTCCTCGTACCCTTCTCTCTCCTTGTCTATCACCTTCATACTGCTCTCTCTGTGGACACTCACTCTTCCAATGTCCCTCCTTTCTACAATACGCACATTAATTCCTACTTAAAGTCCCTTGCTCAGCCTATTCTCGTCTCCTCTATTCACTTCCCTGTCTTTCTACACTTAAGATAGCTACCGCTAGCATATCTGCCTTTTTCCTCATTTTACGCTCTTCCTCCATCTCCCTATTCATATATACTGTATTTGCAATCTCCATTAGCTGTATTATGGACATCCCTACAAATCCCTCTAATTTTCTGTAATTTCCTTTTACTATCACCTTGGGCCTGGCTGACAAATGCTGAGTCTATCATTCGGAAGTTTTCAGGGGCCTCTGGATTAAAGGGAGTATACAACCTATTTGACTCAAGCAGTGTCTAATATGGGACTTCGGCAAAGCTGCCCAATAATAGGTTCCAGTATAGGAGTAGTAAGATAAGTGTAAGGGGGTGAGCTAATTTTATTAGTCGGCATTTGGTGGATGAAAAAACGTTTTTGTTTAAAGTGTTAAACCAAAAACCTACCAGTAGGTGTCACCAGAGGGTAATTGTATCAAAATAATCTTTATGGGTCTAATAAGAAAACTCAACTTTTAATATATTTATACATAAAATAAAACCTTATAGCAATAAATATATTAAAATAGGGTAAGCAATCCTACATCTATCTGTTATAAACAATGTATTATCAATGTAACTCCCGAAGATGGCCAGTAGGTGGCCTAGAGTGCCTCCCTAAAGTCAAATGAAACAAATAGACTTTAATTAATTATGTCATATTTTATTATTACTTATTTTAATCAATGTCCACCCTGCTAGCTAGGCTTGATTAAATCTTTAGTTCTAAGGTAAATTAAACATTTCAGTTTGTAGTTTAGTAAAAAGGGGACATTTTGGACAAAGCTGGGAGGGGCCCATCCAGTAACTAAAAAAACCAATATACCATCTGATACCATTGATCATTGATTAGGGGGAGGGGTAGTACAGAAATACAAGAGTTTGAAACACAGGAACAGATAGGTATGTGGGTAGGCGGGGACAGTAGAGCAGGGGGAGTGCAAATACTGACTATATACCAGTTTTGGGAGTAAGAAATGGGCGTGGCTACTCTGGCTCTGGAGGATGTTTGGGGGGTTGGTAATCAGATGCCAGGGGGGGAGGGGATGTCCAAAGCAGTTGTAATTAAGTCCTTAGTTCTGACCACCATATGGCTACATTGTTTCCCATATGACAATTTAATTCACCAAGGCAATTTTTCAACAAATCAGTTTCCAACAGTCAATATATAGAAACTGATCATAGAATTCCAGCCTACTAGTTACAGCCACATGTACACCCTGCACTAAATTTAAGTGAAGACTGCTACATGGAGGCCATGCAGCCACCAGGACAAGCTACTCCCTACTTTTTTTTTTTTTTTAAACATACAAGACAAAGCCTTGTGAATCAGAAGATTATTTCAACAGAGCATCTGATTCAAAAAGCTGTACAAATATACACACAGTTTCAACAGTCACACCAATCTCCTTATCACCAGCAACACATTGCACAGTCACTAGGCCCAAACACACACACAGGATCCTCACATGCTCAACAATATCACGACGTCGCACACACGAAATTAAATAAAAAAAAACCACCAAAGACTATACACTTATCAATGTAACTATTATTCAAACCATACAACTATCCACGCTATTAATCCATATAAACTAACCGATCACATAACATTTGAACAAATTCATCTCTACAATTATCCGTACTATAAATCAACTCTTGACTAACCAACTATATCACATTCTAGTAACCTCATCTTTACAGTCAGTGGTTATGGTACAGTTAGTAAGTGGTTATAATACAGTTTTAAAGTCACAGATCAGTTAGTAACAGTTATGGTATTATACATATAACATAAAACAGCAATTGTTAGTAATTTTTACACAATGTCAGTGGTTATGGTACATGTCAGTAGTTATGGTACCGTGCGCTATTTTACAGTTATACACACAATTTACACTCCCACTAGACAGCAGAGCTCTAACTTTCTAGTAGGACATACAAGTTAACCAATTCACCAACTACAATATATTTAACAACATTTACAATAATCCCAACTATTCTAACTGGCCAGCACCTCGAGAGCTTTCGATCTATTTATACACCAGAGATTCGATAAGTTCTTCGCTGCCCAGACACCACGTATAGCGAACTAGAGGGCAGAATTTACACAGTACCCAGCTAGTCTATTAAACTATCAATAAGCTAGTGGCTGGATTTACAACAGAGCACACTTAGTTAAGATAGGGTGAAATCTAGCAAACTATAATATACAACAGAGTATGCTAGTCTCCCGGTCCCCCCGACCTAGCGAACAAAATTTACACCCTAGATACGCTAGTCAAGACAGGACACCGGTGTCCGACATGAGCTATTTACACCAGAACTCAGTCTGACCCAAACCAATAAGTGTTGCGCTTTTCACTTCTTCCATCCATAAGGACAGGGCAGATTCCAATAACCGGTTCCAAATATAAAACCCCTTGTGGGTCTACCGCTCTAACGGTATCAATCTTACCTGTCAATTACTGGACCTGGGTTCACTCATAGATGGAACAATCCGGGACTCACTGCGCAGAAGCCGATGATCTCCTGGACAAAAGGCCAGTGGCGCCGAGACGAAAGGAGGTCCACGCAGTAGAAGTCCAGGATTGTAGCGTAGAAGGTTTGGTAAAAGTTTACCGTCTCAAATCTCTGTGCCAGCTTCCGTGCGATGAGGTTCCCGGCCCAATTGCACCAGAAATGTTGCAGTGTAAGCATGCAGAAGCCAAACACAGAAATATTGGACACAGGTCTTCAGGAAGTAACAGGCTTTTATTCACATTACCGATCGGGTCTCAGATGAACTCCTGTTCCAACATTCTGAGAGACCAACACATAGTGTACATTCCTTATATAGCACTATAACTCCTCCCATTAATATCTACACCCACATATACCTTTAACCAATCAATGAGCAGAATATAGACTTGTACATCTAGTCAAACCACATGGCTCATCCAAGACAAAGGAAATAAGTGCAATTTCAGTTCCTGCATTCCTGCACATGCTCAGTACACTGATGACAGTATCCTAGCTACATGTAGCTAACCAACTGACACAACATACACATATGCCACATGGAGATTTTGGCCTACTAAATTTTGACCATGCTGGAATCCCATCACATTATAACAAATATATTATGTACTTTTTTTGGGGGCCTGTCTGGCTAGCCTGCCAAAAATGAATACAGTATAACTGCACTGAATGAGCATTCATCAAAGTAGATATTACTTTTTTAAGAACTAGTTAGATGAAGAAGTTCCTAAAAAGAGAAACACATTCTAAACTACATTGTTTTGCAGTATAAGTTCTGGAATCAGTCATTCTAAGCAAGATCTGATAGTAGTTGCATTATAAAGCTATATGTGTGTTTCCCAGAGTATCTAGTTTCACTTCCTCCTTTTTGCTGACAGTGCTTAGAAATTTCTGTCAGCAACGGTAAAGTCATGATTCCAGCAGGTTATAAATGTACAATGTGGAAGCTGCGGTATTTTGTTAAAAAATGTAAAACAACTCAACGTAAATTATATATATTAGCTACTTTGCTAAAATAGTCCTACCTGTATGTTGTTCATCTGAGCATTAAAGGGGCACTCTAAGTGCCATACTCACTGACAGCTCATGGTGTTCATTGTGATGCAAAGAGTCTGGGGGTAACATCCCCTTAGAACAGGTATAGGCAACCTTCGGGACTTCAGATGTTGTGGACTACATCCCCCTAATGCTTACACCCATAATGCTGGCAAGGCATAATGGGAGGTGTAGTCCAAAACATCTGGAGTGCCAAAGGTTGCCAATGCCTGCCATAGAAGATTGTGTCAAACAGTTTTCAATGGGTTTGTCACAACCCAGACTTGTTCCAGTTCCTGCAGTCCTGTTCCTCTGCTAATGTGGAAATTAATTTACGTATTAGCCTATCCAACTTTGGGCAGTAGTAGTTAACCATGAGTACAGAGTGCCGCTTGAAAATGGAGAGGGGATGCCCACAGATTCTTTGAATTATAACTAATATAATGAGCTGTATTTGTTATGGTGCGTAGAGTGAAATGTAATTGTCTTATTGCACAAACCCTTGAGGTAAGTTTGCCCATAGGTGTCTCCTGGCACTATAACAACTTAATTTAGGTGAAGTTGTTTTGATGCCTGGAGAGTCCCTTTAATCTTTTACTTTGGCAATTTTAGTCTAAAATTTGAAAATTGTTTGAATTTCCAGCAATTTACACTTTAGTGAACAACCCTTTAAGCATTGTTTGCTGTTATTTCTGAAGATACAATTAAGAGTCCTCCATTACTTTCACAAGGAGAGCTGTGTATTTAGGGCATACCAATAGGCAGCACGGGAAAACAAAGGCAAAGGGTACACATTCTAATCAGAGGTATGCAGAGAAAAGAAAAAAAAACAATTAAAGCACATTTTATGCAGGTGAAAATTACCAATTACATTTTTCTACAGTCCTCAGTAAAAGCAATCTCACAGGAAGGCATAAAGCAGACATAATGGGCAGATATTGAGATCCGGCGTAAGTAAGAAATAATAGAAAATATAAATAAAGGAAAGTAGGAAGAGTAAGAGTATAATCATTAAGATACAGAGGGCATAAGTAAAGAAAAAAAAACATGACAGGGTTGCTCACCATTAAGCTGTAGTTGTTCTGGTGACTATAGGGCCCCTTTAATGACAGGGAACCATAACATTCTGAATTAATGTAGGCTTGTCTCCTGTGTTTCCTCATACTTGTTTAATATAACTTGTGTCTCTTGTAACCTTTGGTTCAGTCTCAGGATATTGAAAAGGAACTTGCCCTGTGTAGCTTGGAATCAACATATTAGGTACCACATAAAGCAGAAGAAAAAACAAAAACTGAAGAGGAAGCAAGAACAATATAGTTCTCAAAAATGAAATGTACTGCATGATCCTTACTTCTCGCCTTTTCATGTCTTGTCTTTCTTAAGGCTTTAAATCCATCATTTGTAGCCAGAGTGTTTAGTGTGTATGACAAATTGGGTTATTCACTAAGCTATGAATTGTTGACGATGTGAAAATCAAAGTGAACACAGAATGAATTTAAAAATGTTGGTCTAAATTTGAATTCTCAACAAATCACACTTTTGTGAAAAACGGAGACATCCACAACAGTCAACTCACAGTAACGCATGCAGTGTTTAAGCACATTGTTCTTATGAACTGACTTCAGTGTCCACTAACAGCCCAGGGTGACACAGAGATCCTTACTATAGTTAAAGTCAGTAAACAAGTTGCTCAGTCTTTTATTTGTGTTGATAAACTTGCGCAATACGGATATTCTTAAATCCTGCCCTCTTGGTAGGTACCGGAATTCAGAGCTCAATTGGACTAAACCCCAAAATGAAATATAACTATGAATGAATCATGGAGTTCCACAGCAAACAAAACTCTCATAATATGCATTTAAGCTGCAATAAATATGCTCATAAGTTAATGTGACTAAAAGGCTAGCAAGGTTATTTACTAAACCATTAATTATAGGTGGAATAAACACCTATGCATTTCCTGTGAAGCTCAGCTTCTGAAGTTACACTCCCACCTACTCCCAAAATGGCCAATACAGTTGATGGGAGTAATAGTATGATCTAATATTCTTTATGCTACTTGTGAAGAAAACTACATACTTTGGTTCACAAACGTAATTTTTTTGGTTCGGTAGATAAATCTACCCAACACCAACCACCCTCCTGGCTCATTAAGTTCAAAGAAAACCACAGGAATTAGTGCTCTCCCTGTGTGGCCGCCGTTCGTGTAACCGAACAACACGTGCTGGGGAAAATGGTGGCCATCTTGTTACATGAAAAGAGGCAGCGGGACTTGGTCAACGAGTGTCAGGAACTCCAAGTTGGACACTCAATACCGCGAACGCCGGGCAACTTGGCTAATGCCCGCTTCTTTTCACAGGCAAACCAGGAGAGCGCTGTTCGGTAGGTTTGTTTGCACAAATTTGGTGAACAAACGCTACATATGAGCCAGGGGAACCGCTACCCATGAAACTATGGAACTGTTTTGGGCAAACGTCTTGTGAGCAGTCAGTCAAAACTTTACCCCCATGGTGAGTCGTCTGTGTTTGTGGGATCTGAGCGCTATTTGGACAACTTGGGCGCTACCCTTGACTTGCATAAAAGCCGGCCATCTGGCCTGAGTAAAACATTCCTGTTGTACCCTTCATCTAGTCTAGGCTGATGTTTGGGTATGCGTCTAACTACCCGCTGGATTTACTTGTATGCTGTATTTTATTGTGGAGAACATATGAATCAGCACCCGAACTGCATACTATAATCACCAAGTACCTTGAAGTTCGGGAGGAAACGAACGAAAGGGTATCTGACATACCAGCATTCATTACACAACTTTTTTCTTTGAACAGAAAAAAATCATAATTGCAGTTTATATCCACAAAATAAAAAGAACTAACAGATATTTATTAACCCCTTCCTCACCAGTGATGTACCAGGTACATCTGCCAAAAAACAGTCGTAATGACCGGGGAAGTACCTGGTATGTCATTTAGTAGATCGGGACTTACCTGATCACTGGCGATCCCCTGTCGGTGATCGCGATCCTGGGGTCTACCTGAGAGCTCCGGCAGACCCCCACTGTCTGTTCCGGCCCTCCCGGGCCATGTGATCGCAGGGTCCTCGCAATCAAATGGCCGGAATAGCCAGCTTGTGCATTGCCTGCAGGGGGCCTGCCTGAGCTCTCATGTAGTCCCCCTAATGCCTGCAAAATAGTTTTAAAAGTTAAATAAAAGTTTAAAAAGTGAATAAAAGTACTTAGAGCATATATATATATGCTCTAAGTACTTTTATATACACATACACATACATAAATCATTATTAAAAGTGTATTTTAATATTAATCTATATAATTATATATATTCATATTAAAAATACACTTAGTATAACATTAATTATATATATACATATAAATGAAAATAAATAAATACATTGAAGAAAAATAAAAAAAAATGTATTTAAAAAAAATTATAATGCGGTTTAAATTTGTTCTAACTGTATTTTGATATTAATATACATAAATATTTAAATCAAAATACATTTAGAATGATGTTATAAATAAGTATAAAATACTAGGTACGTCCGACAAAAAACGGTTCTTCAGGACATACTAGGTACGTCCGCGGCAAATAGGAGCCCTGGACTTACCTGGACTGGTGATCTGCGGCGATCACGATCAGCTGCCCCCCCGCAGCAGCTCTGGTCACCCCAGCTCCCGAAAGGGCCATGTGATCACCATGATCACATTGTTGCAATAGGAGTCTCTGGAGCTGCCAGCAGGGGGACTATAAAAAATAAATATATTATACATATATTATATATGAATAATATATTATAAACTAATTAAAGCATTTTACAACACAGAACACAAATATGAGTGTTTAAGACAGTAAATGTTATGAAAAGTTTGTGTTAAAAAAAAATGCAAAAACAAACTAAAAATGCTAACTTTGGCCAGTGTTTGTGACTAAGTGGCTACTACCAAAGACTGGAAATACTCAATTTTGAATACTCTGGGTTGTCTACATTTGAAAATGGTATGCCATGATGGAGTTATTTTACATTCCTGGGCTACCATATGGTCTCAAAAGGCAACACAGACCCAGCAAACCAATCTGGCATACTGAATTGGGCAAGCCCTATACTGACCCGGTACCTTTTCAAAACACCATAAAACCTGTACATGGGGGGTATTGTTATACTCGAGAGACTTCTTTGAACACAAATATGAGTGTTTAAAACAGTAAAACTTATAACGCCGATGAAATTGCAGTTATGTAAAGAAATGCAAAAAACAAATAAAAACACTAAGTTTAGCCAGTGTTTGTGACTAAGTGGCTACTACAAAAGACTGGACATACCCCATTTTAAATACCCTGGGTTGTCTACTTTTTCAAATGGTATGTCATGGTGGGGTTCATTTTCATTTCTGGGCTGCCATACCATCTCCAAGGCAACATAGCCAATCTGGCAAATAGCAATTTACAAAAACCGAAATTGGCAAATCTTATGTTTGACCCTGCAACTTTCCAAATCACCATAAAACCTGTACATAAAAGGTACTGTTGTACTCGTGAAACATTACTCTACACAAATATGAGTGTTTTAGAGCAACAAAATGTATTATACTGATAATATCATCAGTGAAATGGCAGTTTATGTGTGAAATTTAAAATACCCTAGAGTGTCTACCTTTCAAAAATATATTGTTTAATTGGGTTAATTACATTGGCCGGTTTCATAAATCCCCCAAATAGGACATGGGTGCATGATGACCAGCTGTGAAAATTCCAAGTTGAAAAACTGGAATGCACACGCTCCAAATAAGGCCTTTTAGCCCCCAGCCCAACACACTTGTACATGGGTGGTATCACTGTACTCAGGAGATGTTGCTGAACACATATTGGGGAGTTTTTGGCAGTAACTCTTAAAGTTCTCAGTACATGTATTCTTAAATTGCTATGTGTGTCAAAAAAAATCACCAATTATTTTTATTTTTTTTAATTTGGCATAGATTGGTGGAAAAATGGTTGCATGAAAAGAGTCAAAATACCCCAAGTTTAATACCTTAGGTTGTCTTGTTTTAAAATATATATACATGTGAATGGTTATTCAGGGATTCCTGACCAATATCAGTGTTACAATGTAACAGCAAAGTGCTACTTGTACTTATTGACCTATAACTTGCAAACAAAAGCTAAAAACATGTTAACATGTCTAAACTCAGGACAAAATTCAAAAAAACTATTTACCGTGGTTTTTTTTTGGCAGCTGTAGATGCGTAACAGATTTTGGGGGTCAAAGTTTTAAAAAGTTTTTTGTTTTTTTAAAACTTTCATCATATTTTAAAAATTTTTAAATAATGGTATCTTTAGAAAGACCATTAGAGGGGGAAAAAAACAGTTTATAATACGTGCAGTAAATGAGTAAGACGAAGATTACAGCTAAACACAAACACCGCAGAAATGTAAAAACAGCACTGGTCCTAAATGGTAAGAAAATTTAAAAGTGGTCTGGTAACTAAGAGGTTAAACAGCAACATACAAGGTAGTTAATTGCAATAATGTGTGAGTAAGACCACTGGGGTGCAATTCAAAAGAGTGAAGGTATCTCTCACTAGGTGCAATAGAAAAAAAAAAAAAAGAACATAGCATAAGGAGAAGACAGCTTGGTTTTAGCATCTCAAGGTAGTATCACTATATCCCAAATAGACAAGACATGTTCAAAGATAACATTTCAGATTGTCATAAGATAGTATAATGTACATGTCAATAGTACTGCACTATTTTTAAAGTACAAGAAACTAAGTACAACACAATACTCAGTGCCTAGAGACTTAATGTTGCTTAGCCTTACTGAGAGTGACACTCGGCTGCTATGCTGCTGACTGTACAGTTATATGTGGTTAATACAGTGGATCTGATCCAAGCTATTAGTTTAAACATACTATGCTAAGTAAGAATAATAGAACTGGCTTCATCACTGGTAAACAAAGATTGTATAGAATATAAAATACAGGAGTCCACCACTTGGTGAGCAAACCAGGCTTATGCCGGCGGGATTGCCTCCGTGAGTTTTGTGCCCCTTCATCCGATTCCCGATTTGCAAGGAAGCTGGGTAGTCAGTTGTATATCCCCCGCAGGGAGGCAGGTAATGTGTGAGTGTCCCAATGTGCAGTTTGTGCACTTGTGTCTCCACCTCATAAGGGTACTCCACTAACTCCAGACGCCGATGCTCTCTTGTTGCATGGCTCTGTGGGACTGGCAGCATCCGACTTCAAGAGCGGGATTCCAGGCTTGAACGCCAAATGACTCGCTGAGTGGGAGTCCTCCGAGTTTACCTATGGTGCTTGCGGGCTTTGCCACCCTTGGGGGGTTGTGCTGGAGCGGCTTTGTAGCCTTTTTTGTGGGATCACAGGAGTTGTGGCCTCCGCCGTCTGCTCTGTACCGCTTGTCGTGCACTGGGGAGTCGATGGGCAAACTTCGCCAGAACAGCAGTAGATGCTTTACAGGCTGTCTTCGGCTCAGGTTTGGTAAGTGTGGGTCTTCGCTCTGCGAGACGGTCCCAGAAGGCCTGGCAGATTGCCTGCAGCCTGGCTTTAAAAGCTTCTCTCCAATTCAGACTTGTTTGGCTGCTCTGGGATGTTAATGCGGCGGCCATCTTAGATGGGCTGCATGGCTGGCGAGTTTCTTCCAGCCCTTCTGGGTATGTCGTGTGGTTTGATGCTTGCCACTGAAAGCATGTGCTGTGGTGACAGGCTTTCCCAGTGGGGACCTGGATATCCCCCACCGGTCCTAAGGGGGGGGGGGATTGGAGTACTGCAGGACCTCGCTGCGAGTTGTAGAGCGAGGAGATCGGCCGCCTCTCCCCAGCTCCGCTCCCAGTAGGCTGCAATAGATTCATCCGGGTATTCCGCTGCGGAACTTGTCAAGAAAGGTATCAATCTGCTATCCTAGAGATCCCTGATCCATGAAGCACCCCTCAGTGGCTGTCTGGTAAACATTACAGTCTAACTGGGGCTGCAATGTTTAACATTGCAGCACTAAGTGCAATAGGGACACTGCACCCAAACCACTTTAATGAGCTGAAGTGGTCTGGGTGTCTATCGTGTCCCTTTAACTCATGCAACACACATGCAAGGAGCTGCAATAACTAAATAAGCAGTAGTTCAATATACTGAAATATGAGACTATTCTGATAATCTGCACAACATTACAGTTGCTTTTGTTCTAGTCATGCAACTTATCTTTGAGGGGCTACAAATTAAATCAGGAAGAAGGAAGCAGAGCTAGCCATATCACACACTTTGAAATTTAGTTTTAGATCCCATTCTTTTAACTTCATGCTATCTTAATCTGCAAAAGTCTTTTAGGTATTAGTATCACATATAACACACCGATAGGCCCTCCTTCCTTCTTTGATCATGTTATTGACTCATTGACTGCCTCTCCTCCGTCTGTAACAGGATACCTGTTCACTTCTTGAAACTCTATCTCTTGAAAACAATATTTCCCCCTTTGAGCTCTAACACTCTTTTGTCAGCCTGCATTAAAGTCATTAAAAATAGTACGTTTACATAATTATGTAAAAATAGTACATTTACATAATTGCTGACATTGATATCTTTCAGTCCTCACTTCTAGTCAATCTCCAAATCCTACTGATCTCATCTTGGACTCTACACTTCTGTCATCTCACTTCATTCGCAATTCTTACAATGGCTTCACGTGCACTGAAGTTTTTGGTGTACAGTTATGGTTCTCACCATACAATGCTCTCCTTAAATTCACCCCATGTTACATGTTATTTTAACTAGCAAGCCCAATATTATGTTTGTATCCAACTGCCAACGCTCATTTTTATACTGTACCATTCGGCTGGCCCATTTTTATACTGTACCATTCGTCAATCAGACTTTCCTGTAGATTCCAACTCTCCAGAAAAAAAAAAAAAACTCGGATTCAAGTCAGAGTGAAGTCTTGGGTAAACAAATCAACTTACGAAGTCTATCATCTCAACGGGTCACCACTCTTGCACCCACACTGCCTCTTCTCTCGCTGTCTGCTCAAACCCTTCACACATTCTTGTTTTACAGCTACCAATGGTGCAAAATGGTGAACTACTGTTTTGTAGAAACATACAGCGGATTTGTGAATCAGAAGTCATACTGAGTGAGTGAATCAGATGAGTAAATATTGAGTGAATGAATCAGACTTATTCCCATCTGGTTCAAATTCTGGAGCTTGTGATATCTTTTGTTATTAATCTTAATTAAAACTGACAATTGGTTGTTCGAAAATGATGTCAAAATCCACCTGTTTTACATTTGCTGTTGAGTGTTAACTTGAGCCAGTAAGAACATAACAATAACAAAACCCCACCTTACACGTATTACTCATAATAGGAAACCACACCTAGCATAGATTTATTACAGAGTGATTGTGACATTTTATTTTGACATTTCTTCTGAAGAGGAATAAAAATAGTTGCTTTATGCATGAGGAATAGCATGATGGATGGTCACTAAGTACTGGTGTGTTTGTAATTTTGTTGATGTTCTTTTCTTTAACTACTTCACTACCAGAAATAAGTAAAAACATGTTTTACTTTCATGTGTTTTGAAGTATGAAATTTAAAGCCTCAATCACCTTCATTTATACTCTAGGAATGATTACCAGTCTGTAGACTACACATTTATCTGCCAAAGGTTACTAAGTTAATGCCAGAAACTTTGCTGAAAATGTTGGCTTGCTCCTGTTTCCAAATAGTAAAGGAATTTTCAATTGGTCATATAATCCCTACTGTCAGGGAGAGGGGAGGAGTGAATTGACTATTTCACTGTTAGCATTACATTAGCATTCCAGAGGTTGATAAAGCATGCAATATATGTTTTAAATACCTTTATTTTATATGTGGGTATTATGCTCAAATTGCTGCCAATTTAGTAAGCTGTACTGCTAGTAATACCAATAAGCAAGGTGTTTGCTGATTTATATTTATCTATTTTTGTCACACCTACTGTATGTGACAACAATTATATTTTTTGCTTTATACTAACATTTTAGTGTGAAATATTGGACACTGTATGCTGTCTAAAGGTTTTAGTTTTCCTCCAAAAATGTTTTTATTTATATATATTGTAACATTCAGTATACTGTGGAACCTCAGAACCCTCAAACTTAATCTGTTCCTGAAGGTTGTTCGAGTCCCGAAGTGTTCGAGAACAGAATCAACATTTCCCATAAGAATTAATGTAAAATTGATTAATCGGTTCCAGACCCCCAAAATTACAGCATTTAAAATTTATATCACTCTTATAATAAGTACCTTACATTTATTTGAGTGTTTCCTGCCTTCCAACTTGCTAAGCGTTTATTGTTGGCCATTATTGCAATTATTTATAATAATTGTCTGACTTGAAAATGAGACATGGCCCTTTGTTGTATGTTCGGGTACGGAGCCATTTTTTACTCATGGCTCTTTGTTGTATGTTCGGGTACCGAAGATCGTTCGCGTACCAGACATGTTCTGGGGTTCCACTGTATTACAAATTATCATCTTACTGAAGTGGAATATTTTCAGTTTTATGCTGAGGCAATAGGGTTAGTCATCATCTTACCTTATCCATGCCATACTCCAAATGCTTGAACAATTTTTACTTAGAGTGGATGAGGATGGCATTAAACAAGCATAGCCTGTTTGTTCCTACTTGGTTCTCTCTCATTCCCATTTTATCATTTGAAACTAGACAAGCCTACTAGTTTGGATAGTTACTGCCATCATCCTTTGTTTTGTTTTTTATGTCTAATCTGCTGCTCGGGTTTATGTAATTGTTGTAAAATTAGTCTAAAAAGTGTCAGCTGCAATCTACCTTGAACACTATAGTCAACCCAGGTGTTAAACATTCCTAGTGGGTGGTGATTTTAGGAGTTATATAAAGTGTAGTTGGGAGATATTCTGGAGATAAACTGAAGGTAATCTGAGGTATTCAGGATGATAAATACAAAGTTAAGATTTGTTTGATTTAAATTATTCTCCTCATTGGAATGGCAGACTTAGTTCAGTAATAGTTGCTATGCATTTGTTTCACGTTCCACTTTTTGGAGGTTTGGTTGTTGTCTAATCTGTAGACAGTTCTCTATCTTGCGGCAGGAGATTGTATTTTTGAAGTCTGAGATTTGTAAATTATCTGGTGAACAAATTCAGACTGGAACTGCTGCTAACCCACTGCCACAGAGACATACTAGGAATGGCAGATGGATTACTGTTGGATCTGGTAGACTTAGAGTTGTGGATAAAAGGCATTTTGCACAGTCTGTTGCTCTTCATAATTCATTTTCTGCACTTTCAAAGTGTAATGGTGTTGTGGAGAGAGGCACTGAGGCTAGTGGTGTTGTGGAGACCGGCTTGGAGACTATGGTGAGGCCTAATAGAAAGCAGTTGTTGTTGGGGGATTCCATTAAAAGAGGTGTGGAGATGGACAATGGTGGTCTTGTGAGGTGTCTTCCCGGAGCTACTGCTCACAGAGACAGGAGACGTATCTGTAATATTGTTAAGCAAGCAAAGCAGGAAGGGAAATTGGATGTACTTGTCCATCTAGGCACAAATGACTTGGCTTGCAACGAGGTTTCAGAGGTTAAGGACGTTTTTAGTGTTTTTGCCAATGATATACGGCAGGTTGCTTCCACACTGTCATTCTCTGTTCAAAAAAAGATGGTTTGCATCTTTCTCAAAAATGTTCTCAGTGAGCAGTTCATAGGTTTTGCTAGGATGTATTTAAACAGGAGGGGGGGCAAAAGGGTGATAAAACATCAATCCAATTGTCCCCCAAAACAAGGACAGAAGGTACCTGTAGCAAGTGTGTTAACAAATGATAAGCTTAGAGTCATGTCTACAAATGCTTGCAGTTTAGGGAATAAGATCCATGAACTTGTGGCAATAATGGCAACTGAAAGTGTAGATTTAGTCGCTGTTACTGAGACATGGTATAATAAGAAAAATGACTGGGACATAGCAATACCAGGGTACTCTTTATATAGGAAAGATAGGGAAGGCAAGAAAGGGGCAGGGGTGGCCTTGTATGTGAAGGATAGCATAAAATCTAGCCTAATAAAGGTTAGTGAGTCAAACATAGAGTCCATTTGGGTTAGAATTTGGTAATCACACAGTAACTCGTGTAGGTGTGATTTATAGGCCCCCAGGACAAATTGAAGAGTTAGATAATCTACTAGTTGAGGAAATAGCTAAAATGACAATGAAGGGGGAAGTTATCATCATGGGTGACTTTAATCTTCCTGATGTAAATTGGAAAACAAAATTAGCTACTTGTGCCAGGAGCACACATATTCTAAACTCCCTACTAGGATTGTCTCTAAAACAAGTTGTTGAGGAGCCAACTCGTAAAGAGGCCATACTAGATTTAGTGTTAACAAATGGAGATTTGGTATCAGATATTACTGTAGGTGAAAGTTTAGGATCCAGTGATCACCAGTCAGTGTGGTTTAATATAAGAACAGTGACTGAGTCACACCACACAAAAACAAAAGTTTTACACTTTAGAAAAACAGACTTTTCTAAAATTAGAATATGGGTAGAGGAGTCATTATCAGACTGGAGCAATTTAAATGGAGTCCAAGAGAAATGGGATTATTTAAAAGTTGCACTATTGAAGGCAACAGAAAATTGCATTAGGCTTGTCAGTAAAAGCAACAAATTCAAGAAACCACTGTGGTACTCCGCAGATGTGGCCAAAATAGTTAAAAACAAAAAGTTAGCATTTAGGAATTATAAAAAAACCCAGAGTGAGGAAGACAAAATGATCTTTAAGATTAGGCAGAAAGAGGCTAAGCAAATTATAAGAGCTTCCAAATCACACACAGAAGAGAAAATAGCACAGTCAGTAAAAAAGGGGGATAAAACATTTTTTAGATACATAAATGAGAAAAGAAAAGTAAAACAAGGATTAGTTAGATTAAAAACAAAAGAAGGAAGGTATGTAGAAGAGGATAAAGGTCTAACTGACTGCCTCAATGAATATTTTTATTCTGTATTTACAGATGAAAATGAAGGAAACTGACCTCAGCTGAGAAAAAGGATAAATGAGTCATTTATTACACGTGAGTTTACAGAGGAAGAGGTTCTATTTCAACTGTCAAAAGTAAAGACAAATAAGTCAATGGGACCTGATGGAATACACCCAAAGCTATTAAAAGAGCTTAGTGGTGTACTAGCAAAACCATTAACAGATTTATTTAACCAATCGTTGTTAACAGGAGTAGTCCCAGAAGATTGGAAGTTAGCGAATGTTGTGCCCATTTACAAGAAAGATAATAGGGAGGAGTCGGGCAACTATAGGCCAGTAAGCCTTACTTCAGTAGTGGGGAAAGTGATGGAAACCATGTTAAAGGATAGGATTGATGAACATCTAAAAACACATGGATTTCAAGATCAGAGACAACATGGGTTTACTTCAGGGAGATCATGCCAAACTAATCTTATTGATTTTTTTGATTTGGTAACTAAAATTATAGATCAGGGTGGTGCAGTAGACATTGCTTACCTAGATTTCAGTAAGACTTTTGACACTGTTGCACATAGAAGGCTTATCAATAAACTGCAATCTTTAAGTTTGGATTCCAATATTGTTGAATGGGTAAGGCAGTGGCTGAGTGACAGGCAACAGAGGGTTGTAGTTAATGGAATATATTCGAAGCTTGGACTTGTCACCAGTGGGGTACCTCAGGGATCTGTACTTGGACCCATTCTCTTTAATATTTTTATTAGTGATATTGCAGAAGGTCTTGATGGTAAGGTATGTCTTTTTGCTGATGATACTAAGATATGTAACAGGGTTGATGTTCCAGGAGGGATAAGCCAAATGGCAAATGATTTAGGTAAACTAGAAAAATGGTCAGAATTGTGGCAACTGACATTTAATGTGGATAAGTGCAAGATAATGCATCTTGGACGTAAAAACCCAAGGGCAGAGTACAGAATATTTGATAGAGTCCTAACCTCAACATATGAGGAAAGGGATTTAGGGGTGATTATTTCTGATGACTTAAAGGTAGGCAGACAATGTAATAGAGCAGCAGGAAATGCTAGCAGAATGCTTGGTTGTATAGGGAGAGGTATTAGCAGTAGAAAGAGGGAAGTGCTCATGCCATTGTACAGAACACTGGTGAGACCTCACTTGGAGTATTGTACACAGTACTGGAGACCGTATCTTCAGAAGGATATTGATACTTTAGAGAGAGGTCAGAGAAGGGCTACTAAACTGGTTCATGGATTGCGGGATAAAACTTACCAGGAAAGGTTAAAGGATCTTAACATGTATAGCTTGGAGGAAAGACGAGACAGGGGGGATATGATAGAAACATTTAAATATATAAAGGGAATCAACACAGTAAAGGAGGAGACTATATTTAAAAGAAGAAAAACTACCACAACAAGAGGACATAGTCTTAAATTAGAGGGACAAAGGTTTAAAAATAATATCAGGAAGTATTACTTTACTGAGAGGGTAGTGGATGCATGGAATAGCCTTCCAGCTGAAGTGGTAGAGGTTAACACAGTAAAGGAGTTTAAGCATGCGTGGGATAGGCATAAGGCTATCCTAACTATAAGATAAGGCTAGGGACTAATGAAAGTACTTAGAAAATTGGGCAGACTAGATGGGCCGAATGGTTCTTATCTGCCGTCACATTCTATGTTTCTATGTAACAGAGCCACAACAGCTCAATGTATTGGTTCTGGTGTCTATAGCATGTCCCTGCAGTCTCAGAGTAAAGCCAGTGTTTGCATTACTACCTAGTAACACTTATAGTGGCAGTCACTCAGACGGCCACTAGAGGTGCTTCCTATCTCAGTGCTGCATGTTCAGCGTCTTCATGCTCTGCAATTAATCTCTATGATGAGGTGCTGATTGGTGCAGTGCAGCGTTTTGCAGGTGCAATATCCTCCCAATGCTTTCCTATGGATAATCATTGGATTGGTTAAGATTATTAAAGGACCACTCTAGGCACCCAGACCACTTCAGCTTAATGAAGTGGTCTGGGTGCCAGGTCCAGCTAGGGTTAACCCATTTTTTAATAAACATAGCAGTTTCAGAGAATTGTAAATGCTTTCCTATGCGACGGGCTGAATGCGCGCGCAGCCAGCCCAGGAGGAGGATCGGAGGAGGAGAGCTCTCCGCCCAGCGCTGGAAAAAGGTAAGTTTTTAACCCTTTCCCCCTTCCAGAGCCGGGCGGGAGGGGGTCCCTGAGGGTGGGGGCACCCTCAGGGCACTATAGTGCCAGGAAAACGAGTATGTTTTCCTGGCACTATAGTGGTCCTTTAAGAATGGTGATCTCAGTAATGGAGGTGGAGCCAGGTGGCGTGACCAGTGTGGCGTTGTAGAAAAGTAAAAAGGTAAAATAAAATCTAGCAAGGGCTGGAGACCTAAATAGTTAGTTTAACACTAGTGTTAGTAATACATGTTTTTATTCCTGACATTATAGTGTTCTTTTAAATCTGCCTTTTTTTGCAGAAATATCTATATTGTGTATGTATATATATATATATATATATATATATATATATATATTAGAAAAAACTCCAAATTCAATGGCAGCATTAAGTGAAAAAGTGATGCAAATAAATTGCTAAATCTATTGGTTTGCTTAAAAAAAAAATGTGTATTTTCAAAATGATGGAGAACAAAAGTAGCAATAGACAAAAATAAACCACAGCAGATTTAACCCCTTAAGGACCGGACTGTTTTGGTTATGTTGTACGTTAAGGACCAGGGCTGTTTTAACACTTTTGTGGTGTGTGTGTTTAGCTGTAATTTTCCTCTCTCTCACTTACTGTTCCTATACAAATTATATATTGTTTTTTTCAGAGGGCTTTCTTTACATACCATTATTTGTATCATGTCATATAATTTACTTTAAAAAAATAATAAAATATGGTGAAAAATTAAAAACAAACAAACAGTGTTTACATGCTTTTTTTTGCAAGTTATAGTGCTATAAGTACAAGCAGGACATTGCTGTTTCAGAAGATATATATTTAAAATGTATCAATAGTGACATTGTAACACTGTTATCTGTCTTAAATCTCTGAATCACACCTCACATGTACATATTTCTTTTAAAGTAGACAACCTAGGGTATTCAATATGGGGTATGTCCAGTCTTTTTAGTAGCCCATTAGTCACAAACACTGGCCAAAGTTAGCATTTATATTTGCTTGTGTGTTAAAAATGCAAAAAACAATTATGAATGCTAAGTTTGGCCAGTGTGTGTGACTAAGTGGCTACTAAGAAAGACTGAACATACCCCACTTGCAATACCTTGGGTTGTCTTCTTTTGCAAATGTTATGCCATCATGGGGGTAATTCTCATTACCATACACTCTCAAAGCAACATAACCAACCTGGAAAATTTTAATGTAAAAAAAAAAGGAAAATCAAGCCTTATATTTGACCCTATAACTTTCAAAAACACTATCAGAGGGGGGGGGGAAAGGGGTGAGGGTTACAGTTTTACTCTGGAGACTTTGCTAAACACAAATATTAGTGTTTCAAAATCACAACAATTATATCATCAGTGAACGTGCTGTTTGTGTGTGAAAAACGCAAGAAACGTCACTTTCACTGACAATATCATCGCTGTAATATGTTTTACTGTTTTGAATCACTAATATATGTGCTCAGCAAAGTCTCCTGAGTAGAACAGTACCCCCCATGTACAGGTTTTAGGGTGTCATGGAATGTTACAGAGTTAATACAGTGCTAGCAAATTAAATTCTCTGGACGTTCGGCCTGTGTTGTCAGGCAGGTCCCTCAAATTGCAATAAATAAAATTACCTAATTATGTAAAAATATTACATAAATATGCACGTATAATTTAAATATATATACATATTTATATATTGGAAGTCTATGAGTATATTTATGAAATTATTTAATTTTGCATATGGATATATATATATATATATATATATATATATATATTTCATATTATTTTTATTTATAATTTTTATTTATTTATATATAATTATTTTTATTTATTTATATATATATAATTGCATTCTAAGTGTATTTTGATATGAATATATATATTAATAGCAAAATACAGTTAGAATAAAATTACGTGTGTATATATATATATATATATATATATATATATACATAATTTATTTTAATTTTATTATTTTTCAATTTATTTTTATTTACTTATTATTTATAATAGCCACTGTTATGGGCCTACATTAAAGGGCTTAGTGTAGGAGAGCTAACTTACCTCCTAGCAAGTGCCCTCACGACTTGAAGGGGAGGGGTAAGGAGCAGAACCCAGAAAGCTCTTGGTAAGAAGCCAAACCATAAGCGAATGTTTACATTAGGAGGGTGCCAGGGCAATCCGCGCCCCCCCATAACCACTACAGCATGCTGTAAGTTCTCTTGCTTGGAGTGTTCCTTTAATGAATTGCCCCAAAATACTGCTTAAACACACATAGTATGGCCCATAGCTGTCTCATATCAGTGTATAGCAACAATATCAAGAGATGTTTTTTTTAGTACAGAAACAAATTATAATAATAATGTTAGGGATTAGAGCAGGAGTTTGCAACCTTTGGTACTCCAGATGTTGTGGACTGCATCTTTCATAATGCCAGGAGTGCCGAAGGTTGCACACTCCTTTTTTTAGAGTGGATAAGTAAACATCAGGAATATATCACTAGATATTATCTTCATTTTGCCTCCACATGTGTAAAGATTGGAATCTGCCTCAAAGGGAGTCAATGAGCATTGTTTTGTTGTCCTCAGTTTATCAAGAGAAGGATTAGACCTGTTTATCTTAATACAACAATGTTATCCTTTGTGATTAAAACAATTCCACCTCTAGTTGGTTTTCATGTGCTAATAGATTTTGTTTGATGTGCTAAATAAAAAGATTGGTTGCAGCATGTTTGATCTTCACTTGGAGGAAAATGGCCATTCTATTAATTTAATCAGATTATTTATTTATTCGACCTTTTATGATTAGATATTTAAAATGGACACTAAAGGCGCCCAGACCACTTCATCTCAGTAAAGCAGTCTGCATGCAGTTATCCTTTAGTGTAAAACATTGCCGTTAAATAGATATGGCAATTCTGACATTGCAGTGGAAAATATGCCTCTAGTTGCTGTCTTCACAAGACAGCTAACTTCCATTTCATTGTAGGAGTGCAGCGCTGGCTGCGCATACACTTTTGTCCCCAATGCTCATCTATGAGCATGTGTGCCAAAGTGGCAACGCACCTCAAGGAGTGACTAATCAGTGCTGCCCATATGCTGAGTGCCGTTGAGGTACTCATGTATAGGCTTAAATGCCCCAAAGTTCTTTAAAAGTTCAACACAATCATTTTTAATTATGCACCCTTGCTACATTTTCCCTCAGTCCTTCATACACCAGGTAAATCAGGTGTCACTTGGAGTCACCATGTGACCTTACAGTTTTGTTACCTCTGCAGCACTTGGGTGACATCATCGATTCCTGATTCTCCGAACGCACTCATTACACTCAACATCTGCTTTTAGTGAACTATCAGTTGCACGAAAATCAAAGATGTGAAAGTTCTGTTTTAATTATATTGTTTTCATATTGCTGCTTGTAATCACATATGAATCATTTGGGAATACCTTAAAGTAATAACACATTAAAGAGTCCATAAAGACTAGTTTGATATATAGCATGTTCGCACGTATGCTGTGATCTCAAACACCACTTATATGATGGATTACATACATTTTAAAATGTTCGAGTGTCACCTGTATAAATTTGCTTACACAAATTCTCAAAATTAAAGGGACACTATAGACAAAAAAATAAACTTTAGCTTTATGAAGCTGTTTTGGTGTATAGACCATGCCCCCGTAGTCTGACTGCTCAATTATCTGCCATTTAGGAGTTGAATCATATTTGTTTCTGTCCATGCAGTTTTAAGCACACCTCCCCTGGCTGTCACTGACACACCCTGCATGAAGAAAACATTGATTAATTTTCAATCAGATGTTAACTTACTTTAGACGTTTTTATCTCCTGCTCTGTAAATTTAGCTTTTATCAAACACAGGAAGCTCCTGTAGGGTCTAGCAAGCTATTAACAGTACAAAAGATAGTGACTTCTAAATGTAACAGCCTGTGCAACAAACGAAGTGTAAACATTAGATTACTCTTTACAGGCGTATAGGAAGGCTTTGCACATTGCATGCAGGGAGATGTGACTAGGGCTGCATAAACAAAGTGATTTAACTCCTAAATGGCAGAGAATTGAGCAGTGAGGCTGCAGATGCATGATCAATACACTAAAATTATAGTTGTTTTGGTGACTGCAGTTTCCCTTTAATGCCGCAGCCTAGTTAATAGTCTATCGTGTAATAAGATGTGACTTGGAGGTCTCTGACCAAAATGTAAAAACATTTCTATGTTGTTTAGTTCCCACTTCTCTGACCTTATATTGTTATACTGGTGTGTTTCTGGGCAACATACAGATCAATGGGAAGTGGTGAAATAATTAAATGGTTTGTCAACATTTTCAGGAAAGGGATTTGGTAAAAACCACATCTTGGTCATTCTTTATTTTATTGATGGCAGAATTTACAATATACTTCCCACCTAGTATGTTTTTCTATTGCGTTTCTAAAGTTACTTTCCTTACACTGAAAAACAGAAAAAGAATATGATTTCCCAGTAACAAGGAGAACTGGAATTTTAAAAAGAATGTGATGCTTTTTATAGAACATAAAATAAATGGTGACTGATGCTGCCTAGCTCGAAAACAGTGGTTCAAATCAGTCTCACGGCTTGATTTCAATAGATCCCCAAGGATACATTTTAAGAAAAATTGCCTTAGTTCACTAAACTCTGAGTAGTGGTTAGTTGTAAAGTGAATTGCAAAACATAACAAAACAGCTTAATGTGGTTGTTCTGGTGTCTACAGCATGTTCCTGCAGGCCTTTTAATGTAAACATGAGCGGACTTATTGTCCATGTGGAAGTCAGAGAAAACCAGTGTTTATATTGCTGCCTAGTAGCACCTCTAGTGACAGTTATTCAGACACTAGAGGTGCTTCCTTTGTCAGGTGAACTGAACGATCCCCATAGAGATGCATGGATTCAGCGTAGCGTTTTGCAGTGCATGCACAATAGCCATGGATTGGCTTAGATTGCCAAAATCCACGGATGAGGTAGGATGCAAGGCTTGCCACGGATGTGGTAGGATGCGAGGCTAGCCATGGATGCGGTAGCCACGGATGTGGTAGGATGCGAGGCTAGTGCGATTGCGGTAGGATGCGAGGTTAGCCCACGGCGAGACCAGCACGGCGCTGGAAAATCGGTAAGTAAAATACCTTTTTTAAGGGAGGCAATGGGGTCTGGGCACCTAAGGATTGTTTTTGCCACTGTAGTGTCAGGAATATATGTTTGTGTTCCTGACATAATGGAGTATGAACTTGTAACATTGAAATAGAATGCCATGCAAACAACACTGTGTTGTAGGCTAGCAAAGCTGTTGCTATCTGAAGGTTTTTGAGGTTTGTTTGTTTTTTTTACATTATTTTCACCCTTTATTTTATGCTTACTGTTATATTCTTGTTCTAAACAGAAGAGCATATTGCACAACGCTGTAACCAATTAAATCTAGACTGGGGTCAGTAAGGTTATGGGTTATTGTACAGGAAGCCACATGGGAGAGGTGCCTGGCCTATTCCCATAGAACTAGGTGGGGTGATAACTTTAGTAGTTTATTGCCTCATGGCATGCTTCCAGATGGTTTAACTAAATATTTTGATACATAATTTGCTACATATGTTTCTAAGTACATTGCGGGATGCTTAAAGACATATTAGTGGATTTGAGTGATGCATTGATGCAGCTGGTCGTCAGTACACGTGTGTTCACATTGGCATGCTTTGAACGCACCCTTAATGATAACTACATGGAGTACTGGACTCATAAGACACTCTGGCAATGCCAAGAGATTCTGTAACAGAAATGGACACATTGACTCTCTATATATGAGTTCTCTCAAACCATTAATACCTAGAATACAGGACAGTAATCAAAATGACGTTTTAGTTAAAATGGACTATCATCCATGAATTCCATTGAAATAATGTTTTGAATTGCACATTCCTAAAGAAATAAAATATTAACTTTTTTACCAAAAATTTTAAAAATGCTTGGACAATTTAATGAGTATCGGCATTAATTTAAAGTGTACAAGCACTTTAAGATATCTTAACTCTATTGTTTTAGTTTGAAAGTAATAAATGTGCATTTTAAGCACCAGAAAACCTATGCGTCATACAATGCAGAGATCTGCATTTATGTATCCATCTCCTCATATGTTCCCCTTTGCCATACATGTACTTGTATGGAGTGTGCCTACAGGATGTGAGTACAAGCCCCTATTTTCTCTGACAAACTACTTACCAGGGATTTAAAATGTACATGAACGTAGCTATCTTTAAGAGCTGGCTCTATTCATTTTTTTCTGAAGAAAGATATAAATGCAACTAGACTTCCACATGGCCACTACGTCGGCTCATTCATAAGACAGTATAAAAGAGTGTTTGAATAGCTCATCTGGACTTTATCCCCCCAAAGACACATTTGAAGCCTCCACCTTGTTTGCCAACTCGCTGTAATTTACTGTTAGTGAATATTTTCGGAAGCATCGATATTAGTTTAAGAAGCATTGCCAAGTTTTAACATTTAGATAAAATATAAGTGATACGGTGATATGTCCAAAATGTTTAATATTAATTTTCCGTTGAATAAAGTTATATTATACAAAGTAAGGGTGTTCTCAAATTTTATTAACTTTGTGCGTCTGCTTTTTGATGTTTGTTTTAGGTGATTTCTGTGAAAAGAATATATGTCTTAATGGAGGAACCTGTGTAAGTGGTGCAAATATCTCGCCTTTCTGCCTTTGCCCTGAAGGCTTTACTGGACATGACTGCAATGTAACAGAGAAAGGTAAACAGATCAACTCACAACTGTAAAACATAGGGGGTTTGGTGTAAAAACAATATATAAACATTTGCATTAGTTTTGTTCACATGCTCCTTGTGTAACACTGCTACTCATTCTTTTATGTGACTTTATGGCGATTTAAAAATAAAAACAACTTAAAAATTATGAAAGAGTCCCAGATTGCTGGTAATATGAAAGTGACATATATAATACATTGGAGCTATTGCTGAGTACTGGCATGTTAATTCACATACTCAATGGCGGAACTACAGGGGTCACTAAGGTCTCAAGTGCCCCCTGTGTTCCGCCTGTCATGGAGGGCCCAAGATCTGACTGGCTGGCGACCTTATGGCACCCCAAGACTGACGGCTGTACGCAATGGAAGCAGGCGACAAGGGAGTGCTGATCTCTGTCCTCTTCTTGCTCTGCTCACTTACATGCCCTGCATTGATACCGTGAGCCAGAATAGGGGTATGCCAGGTATGCCTGGGCACACCCTAATCCCCGCAGCACGCCTATGGATTGTGACCGGCAGGGGAGAGAGGCAGGAGAGGACCCGGGGGGCTCTAGCCAGCAGCTCCGTCGGGTTTCTCTCGCGAGATCTGAGCGTTGCCGTGGCAATGCTCAGATCTCGCGAGAGTGAACTCTAGCCCTGCAGGCTAGAGTTCACTCTCCACTGGACCACCAGGGAAGGCAGCAGCAACAAGGATTCCCCCTCCCTACAAAAGGTAAGAAGGGTGGGGGGATATTTATTAACTAATCTGCCCCCACCTCCACCCCCACAAATCACCAAAACTTACAGCACACACACACAGCACCCACACACATACAGCACACAGACAGCATCCACACACACACAGCACCCTCACACACACAGCACCCTCACAAACACACATCACCCTCACACACACAGCACCCTCACACACAGCACCCTCACACACAGTACATTAACAGCACCCTCACAAACACACACAGCACCCTAACAAACAGCAGCCCCACAAGACCCCAGGAACAGGGTTCACACTGGACCCCAGGAAAAGGATCTACTCCATCTCCCCCAAAGGTAGGGAGGCTGGGTGAACTTAAATTTAAAAAAAAATACATAACAAAAAATAAAAAAATGGTAATTTGTGATTATGTGAGAAAATGTGTATGTCCCTCAGTGTGTGTCAAATCAGTTTGAGTGTGTGTCTGTCAGTGAGCGTGGGTATGTCAGTGAGTGTGAGTGTGAGTATATCAGTGAACATGTGTGTGTTAGTGAATGTGTGTGTGTCAGAGTGTCAAATCAGTGAGGGTGTGTGTATATCAGTATTTGTGTATATGAGAGTGTGTGTCTGTCTGTGAAAAGGTGTGTTGGTTGCACACTGTGTCTCTCAGTGAGAATGTGTGTGTGCTTAAAATGATGAAAATGTGTGATTATAAATAGTTTCAATCAATTCATGTGATTTGTAGCAATATGCATATATGTTTGTACGTATGTCTATATTTACATGCATACACACTGTATACAGTTATTTAAATTTTATGGTTTTACATATCAGGACATAATCAGCTGGTTTTTTTTTAAGCAGGTTTTAAAATTAGGTCAGTACAACCTCAGACGAACAACAACGTATGACATATTACACCATGTAAATTTGACTGTCATTCACCAATCTAGTGTATTTTCACAGCCCTTTCCCACCTTCTTGCTGTCATTTTTCTCTGAGGCGGGAGCAGTTGCTAACAGCATGTGATTATATCTCTGAGTCCTCCTATCATAACTAGAACTACTAGTGCTTTCATTTTCCACATCCAATCTAGCTCCTCTTTCAGAACGTTGCATTTTTCCAGCTTCTCATGTTCCTTCTTCTTGATGTTATGTCACTGGGTTAATGCCACATCCACCACCACAGCAGTCTTCCATACCTTGTTTCTCACCATGATGTTGGTTTGGTTGGCAAGTACTTGATTGTCTGTCTGGATCTGGAATTCCTTTTTGGATCATAGCTCTGACATTCTCATCTCATCTATTCCTTTTGGCACCTCCTATCTAGACTTGTCCATCTGGACAGACATACACGACAAAATGATAACAATAAACTACAGTAAAAGGAATCTCAGAATGTTGCAGGGCCTATGGTCCTCCATAAAGAGTATACTGACTACAGGAAGTCAGAGCAAGCCTGTATATTATGTTTTCTTAATTTCCATAACCACTCCAAAACACTCATCCCTGTGACTCAATGTGTTATTAAATTGGTACCTGCTGACTTATTTAATATAATGGAAGATTTGCCAAAAATATTTGCTAGTACACTTATAATTATCCAAACTAAAATACAATTTGGAGAAAAAAAAACAAGGACCACAAATGTTTAAATATTAAATAAGTATATGAAGTATATGTAAAAAGTACAGTCATTTCTGAAGACATGAATTTCATAGGTGACAGAGCTTCATGCTTATTTAGAATATGACATTAAATACATATTAATGGGACTGTGTTGTTACAGCATGTCATTTACAGGGATAGGTAACTTTTGACACTCCAAATGTTGTGGACTTTAACAACCATAATGTTGGCAAAGCATCAGGGTAGTTGTAGTCCACATTTTAATGCTGAAGGTTGTCTACCTTTGAATTGGAATGTCAGATATTGTACATAGCTAGAGTGCTCATTCATGCACAACAGGTGTTACGTATCTGAATTATGGAGCAGTATAAATGATAGAAGCAAGTTCTGTAAAGAGATCAAAAAATGGTCAGGTTTTTATTTTTTATTGTACTGGGAATTACATATTTTCATACAAGCATATCTGATTAAATATAAGCAGAAATGATAGCATTCTAAGATAATTATATGTACAGAATGAATTATGATCTCAATTCTTCCTCACTTGTTAGGTCCTTGCCACCCAAATCCGTGCTTCAACAATGCAGATTGTGAAGTCTTGTCCCATTCACGCAGAGGTGATACCTTCATGCAGTATGTCTGCAAGTGCCAGCCAGGGTATTCCGGAGAGCACTGCGAGAAAAGTGAGTATTAATATGTTCACAATTAAACGTTCATAGCATTATTGTCATTATCCCAGTGCCTTCAAGCTCTTGGCACAGGGAAGGCTTAATTGTACAGTTTGAGCTCCTGAGAAGTGTTATTGGGTCCCTGTCACAGCTTTGTCTTTGAACTGTGATATTTAAGGTTACGGTGAATAGAACCCAGCTATTTACTTTGCACACATTTTGGTGGTCCTGTAGAATATCTTTGCAATTAATGTGTAGCCAAACACTAACATTTTGCCAGGTACCATGCCACCTGACTATAAGAAGAATTCTTCTTTCCTAAACAAAGGATGTGCAAAAAACAAACAATCAGGCAGTGTATATATGTTCAGGGCCAGGGCAGGCACATATGTCCCCTTATGTGCCTAAATTGATAATCTGTCTTGTTGACCTACTATTCTGACCTACTATGTTGAGTCTATGGCTGCTCCAGTGGCTATATATTCGTCTGTTTAAGCTTGTTTAGTTAATTGTCTATTTCTACTTTAAAGACGTGCGGCTTACGCTATGCACAATAATTGGCAAGATATTTGTTTTTCTTATTTTTGATATTCTTCTTCATACCAAAGCCTAATTGTTATCCTCTAATACACTGCTAATATGTCAGCATCTTAGAATGAATCACTGTACAAACAAAAAACAACAAATACAAACAACCTGTATGTCGCTGAGACAAAGCAAGGTGTGACTGAATGATGGGTGGCAATTCATCCCTTAAAAACTATGGAATCTGTTGGCTCTATAATAATAATAACAACCCCAACCGGACTGCCCTCAGGACCTCGCTTGCTATATCCAGACAGATTATTACTTTGAAAAGTCATTCAAAGGCTGGACCAGGAAATACACTTGCATTTTGAACCTGATGTTACATCTGCCTTCATGAGTTTAACTTACACAGTCTGTGAGCAGATTTTATTTCTTGTCATGTTAATTCATATTCTTTAATTTGTAGCAGTGACTATTGAGTAACTACTTGCAAATTTTAATGAATCATGTTTTCCATGCCTCCTCAAAACCCAGATTTTGTACCCAAATCCACAAATAAGAAACAAATTTAAAAAAAGACTTAAAATCGACACACAAATATGCAATGGAATCTACATACATGAGAGCTTCAGGAGCGCTCCACACATAAATATAGTCTTCTTCTGGGCTGTGTACATGAATACTGCTAAGTCATACCCACAAACATCCTCAATGCTTCTTCTTGAGGTTAAGACTATCTGTCCGGTTTAGGAAAGGCTTGGTAGGCATTAACCATTAATAATGTAAAATGTACATGTCTAATTACCATTAACAATCTATTAATGGTCTACATGTCATTACTTTATCTAGCTCAGCCTGTTTATAATTATTGTTATTTTTAAATGGGAGTAACTATAATGGGTCTCTTAAAATTAATCCACCCTGATTCTTTCTTTTTTTTTATTTTTAGTATTTTATATTTATGGTACACCCATTTAGTACACTGTTAAACTAAAAACAAGTCACTGGCATGTACTTTTTGAATATGTTTTTGATTTGGAACCCTTCTATACTGAATTTATATTTAATGAAACACTGTGATATTGTTACTTAGGTTGTTCCTTTAAATAAACAATCCATTGATTTTGTTTTAACAACTTAGTAGATATACCCCCAAAGACAGCATGCATTTTTTTGGTCCGAATCTTTTCTATGGTAGTATATGAAAAATCAGCTTGCAAATTGCAATCCCTCTTTTTCCAGGACAGACGTTCAGTACCAGGCTTCTCTGTCAAAAGTGTTCCTTTAAAAACCATCTCTAATCTTCTCTATAAAAATGCCATGCCTAGCTACTGCTTTGTGACATCCTCACACCCCAGGGCCTCTGTGTTATTTTATAATTTTTAAAGGTAGCTGTACAGTCACCAAAACAACTAAAGCTTAAGGTAGTTGTTCTGGTGTGTATAGTCTGTCCGTGTAGGCTTTTTAATGCAAACACTGCCTTTTCAGAGCAAAGGAAGTGTTTACATTGCTCTCTAGGGACACCCCCAGTGGCCACTCCTCAGACGGCCACTAGAGGTATTTCCTGGGACAGTGCCTCACAGTGCGCATCACTAACATTCAGCATCTCCACGCTTTGCATGGAGACACTGAACGTCCCTCATAGAGATGCATTGAATCAATGCATTTCTGTGAGGAGATGCTGATTGGCTAGGGTGGCGTTATGTTACACATGTGCAATAGCCTTCCAATGCTTTGCTGTAGGAAAGCATTGTATTTGCTGATATCATCAATTCTGGTGATGTCAGCCAAGCAGGCGGATTGGAGCAGGGTCAGACACGAGGAGCCCAGCGTGCATTGGAAAAAATTTGTAAATCATCTTTCTAACCCCAGATAAGGGGAGCTGACCACCTACACGGTGGTTTTATAGCTATAGTGTCAGAAATACACGCTTGTGTTCCTGACACCATAGTACCCCTTTAAAGACAAATATAATCTCACTGTTACTCACTAAAAATATTGGTAATCAAAATAATTTAAAAGTGAATTTCATATTTAAGGGCAAAATATCTGAACCAGAAACATAGCTGACTTTGAGAATCTTTTTGGCCTTAAGTTTGAAATTCACTTTGCATTCCTGGAAATTCTCCCACCTCCCACCTCCAGCGTAATGAAAATCGGGCACCGGTGGAATGGAGGTAAAGGGGGATTACCAGCATCACTAGCCCCACCCCCAAGTTGTCAGTCCTGCCCAGAAATGGGGCAGGTCCATACAAGTTAATGGCGGGTCAGCCTGTCCATCACTCAGGCCGGCCCACTGAGAGCAGGGCATGCAGAGAGCACTGTTTCACACCCTGCAGGGTTCTATTGCCTTGAACATCTGTCCTATTGTGTTTTATACCCCACCTCCTATAGACTGTAAGCTCGTTTGAGCAGGGTCCTCTTCAACCTATTGTTCCTGTAAGTTTTCTTGTAATTGTCCTAATTATAGTTAAATCCCCCCTCTTATAATATTGTAAAGCGCTACGGAATCTGTTGGCGCTATGTACATCGTAATAATAATAATAATAACATAGCGCAGGCCCATCTTATGATGCGTTCATGCTATGATTGTTGGGAACAATTCCCTGGTGTCCCCAAAAGCAGGACTGTCCTGCCAAAATAGGGACGGTTAGGAGGAATGTAAGCTACAAGGTCTAAAAGCTGCTTGCAATATCAAACGCACAAGTAAACAGCATTATTTCTGTCTAATTCACTGTGTTTAGTTTTTACATGTAGCTCCCTCCCTACCTGTTATTAGCCATCTCCAGTCCCCAAATTCATGAACCTTTTGTCTCCTCTTCTATATATATATTGAGTGTTATTTGGGCTACATGCTAAATCTTAAACTATGCATCAGCTTCTGTTCTATTTTGCAATGATTTATCTTTCTCATGACAGGCTGATTTGTTTTTCCTTTTACCCTCACCTGGGCTGAGCTTCCACTTGGTGACAAGTGGTAATTTTGAGCCCTGGATAACTTTTTCGCTCTGAAGATTTTTCCAAATGACATGTCCCATGATACCTTACGTTAGAAGAGCATTCTGGGGAAAATGCAGTCCACAAACTTTAAATTTTAAACTTTCCCTTAGCCACCAGTTGCCTAGTTATTGTCCCATATTTTAATGTCATAAAATGCTAAGTAGACATATATTAGTACAGCTGCAGGTGGTATAAAAACAAAAGTTAAAAGTAGCTGGCACATTTTGTTTTTGTTTAAAAAAAAATTCCAGTTGCCCATAAAAGTCTTATTTTCAATTTAGACTAAAAGATCAAAAATGTTTCAATAAAAACAAGCTTTATTCTGCATGAGTTCATTTGTATTTCTTTGAATGGTGAAAATATATTTTTGGACTTCAGACACAAACAAGCAAAGGAACAAGAATCTATGAATGTAGCCAGACTCGGGTGACTCATAACAAAAAGCTTTCCTGAAATATCTTATATGGCTTTATGAGAACATTGTGGTGCTGTGAACAACAACCAGAGCTGGATGCATTTTAGTACTTCCTAACAGTCATGTGCAGTATACTGATAGCTCATTTTTAAAGGGACACTATATTCACCAAACTACCTTTAGCTTAATGAAGCTGCAATGTCACTGCTCACGTTTCTGCCATTTTGGAGTTAAATCACCGTATGCAGCCCTAGCCACACCTTCCTGCATGTGACTTGCACAGCCTTCCTAAGCGTCATCTAATGTTTACACTTCCTTTATTGCACATTCTGTTTAATATAGAATTTCTTATCTCTTGCTCTGTTAATAGCTTGCTAGACCCTGCAGGAGCCTCCTGTATGTAATTAAAGTTCAATTTACAGAGCACGAGATGAAAACTTTTAAAGTAACTTACATCTGATTGAAAATGTAAAAAAAAAAATTCATGCAGTCACAGCCAGGGGGCGTGCGGCTAGTAATGTAATAAGTCCAATGCAGATAAAAAAGGATAGCCTGCTGCTTTTAATTTGCTGAAATAAAATATTAACCCCTCCCACTGATTCTCTGCTCCATGTTGACAATGTGCAGCATGCTAATTATGTACACTGTAGTCATTTAGAGTTTGTTGGTGTAAAGATGAACCTGTCACCCACAAACTGCTGATAGTATAGCAGCACATGCCGATCAGCTTTGAAGTCATGTGTCTGCAAAAATCAGTTTACATCTCTCAAGTGACATATTCATTGTAATGTTTACTTCATTGATAGCAGATAAGGATCAGAAGACATCAGGATAAAACATCATGAAGACTATTTGAATGAATTGTGTCTAGGGTCGATGAATTGCAGCGGAAGCTGTTTTGTTGGAATCACATGTATCTGATTATTATGTGGATTAAACATTTTGCAAGGTGCCAGGCACAGAATTCATGTGACCAAATAATCATTCACAAAACAACAATGAACGTGTGATTGCAGGGAGTTGCTCATTTATAAGCAATGTAAAATTTTTCAGGGAGGAAATTTTTGTTGGTTTTGTGTCTGAAGTAGTTTAACAAATAAAGTGTCAATATGTCATGCGATAGTGACTGTTAAATATGTTAATTATGTAACTTGGTGAATGTTACAATTTAAATACTTACCTAAAAATATATAGGATTATTCACTAAAAAGGTTCTTATAAAGAACTTACATGGGAATTGACAACTTTACGTCACAATATCGGTGTTGGAGATGTAGCTGAATTAGATTTTTGTTTTTACTGTAGCTGTTTGGTTTGGCTATTCCCTTGTATATTCTACAAATTCCTATTTTAGTGAATAAATGCAATAAACGTTTCAGGATGCTTTTGAAAAATACATTTCATGCAGTACTATATAGGAGAATGCCCACCCTTGCTGTAGGAGAATGATTATTGAAAAACTGTCTTAGATTCTAGTATATTTCTAGCCCTTGGAAGTGATGAGTTACCTTTGCTGGACTTGGTTTCTCGTGGTACTTTGCCAGGTAGAGTTCCGAAATATTTGCTTTTACTATGCGTTTACGTTTGAAACAGAGTTACGTAGTGGAAGAAGAGTGACAGGTTGGGGATTAATGCCAGTTTATCTTAACTGGAAGGCCAGACATCATCTGACCAACCCATTAAATAATAGAGGTATGTAGCCCAGTGTTTACTAGGCTATATTATGGTTAGCTGCCGTTTACCCTGGTATAGTTTGATGGCTGCACTTTGTGAAAGCTTCAGACACCCAGCTGCTTTCTGCACGAGTCTCTGCTCATTCAGTCGCAATTCACAATCCTAAATATGATAGTGCGGGTGTTGAAAAGTTAAAAAGAAATTAACTTAGAATCATGCAGAGAGCACAAGGGCATCTATAGCTTCCACTTACTGGAAAAAGGAAGAGATTAACAATTCAGCTGACAGATAAATGTAGAGATGGGTTGGGGTTGGGCAAAAATGCCCAAGCTGGTTTTTCCTGTACCAGGAACCACCTGCAACATGTGTCTTTCAGCAGTTGAATAAGGGTCAGCTTGTAATCCGATATTAATGTTTATAAAAACCAATATATCATTTATTCTGAATGAACTGGATTTTAATTTTACAATAGCCACATATATGCACAGGTAGCAAATATATAGGTTTTCAGATAAAATCCAGTTTCAAAATGGAGAAATTGATAGACATACAGAAGTTCTCTGCACTCCTACTTCGTCCAAAATATTTTCTGACGTTTCAAGAAACCAAGCATTTGGCGATTGTAGAGAAAATAGAGACTGTGCTAGAATCAGATGTCAGGATAATTCTTTATTTATTATACCTACAAATCTATATTTTTGATGGCCATGTGGCTAAGGCGTCACTGTATACATGAAATGGTTTACAGATTAAGTGTAATACACAACAGAGGCCATTTATTTTATCTTGTTTCACGCTTCTACAACAATATCCGGAGGGCTTTCGCAAAAGATTGTGCACAAAACCAGCTCTCTAGTAATAAGATTGAATCGGTTAGACTCTTCCTGAGCCTGGTAATGATCTGAAATGATTAGAGTATGTGCTCAGGGCCAGGAGAGGACAAGAAGATTGGATAGAATGGATGATTCGATCTTTCCCCTTGAGATTACAAACTATAATCATTGAAAAACAAACCGGTTTGCTGGGTAATGTTCCATGTATTTTCATTCCTGGAATATCCTCGCACATGTAGGAAATGTTGCAATGGTTGTATAAGAGGATAACCTTTCAGCAAGTGTTGTTTATTAAGATGAACATTTCATCCACTTGTACAGGATGTGCTAGTTCTTAGCAGCTAAGAGTATTCTAAAAAAATTAAATAAATCTCATTATAATATAATGAAATGAAATAAATAATGGAACAATGTTGATTAAAGAAAATAAACAGATGTATAGTTTCTTATAGTATGTTTAATTTGTGCATATTTAATCAGTTAATATAATTAATTCCCCTGTATTTTGTTAGGGCATTTAATGTACTTTCTAAACATATCTGTCGGTCTGCGTCGGTGGCTGTGCATCTGCATTACTGCCTGTCTGTGGATTTATAAAGTCCACAGGCTAAGGTCGCCCTCTATGCTATTGGAACATGTAATGAAATAAATTTAAAGGGACACTAAATCATCCATTGTCATGGCAAGAATCATATTTGATAATGCAGCAGTGTAGTATTCATATTATTGGCTGTAGTGCCTTGTAAAAACACAAGAACAAAACCTAGGGCTGTGTCTGTAGACTTATAGCACCATCACCATTAACCACAAATATGAGCGGTAGTGGCTATAGTGCGTATTGTACCTCTTTTAATAGAAACGGTTAACTTTTAGAAAAGTGACAGTTCCTTGATTACTCAAACCATTAAATGCTGTTGTTTAACTAACGTAAAACACGTATTTACCTGCACTGCACTTCTATATTGATTGACTTCACCAACCCATGATGCCTTGAGCACATTCAGGAGTGCTTAATACTTTTTCAAGCAGTGCTGCCTGCACACATGCGCAGTGTGTACAGCATTACAGATGTTAAAGGAACACTCCAATTCATTCCAAGCTGCTGGATGTGTACATTACAGGATTAGCGTAGGGGATTAGTTGAGAATATTGGTAGACCAGACGTATATTAGATAATACACTGGCACTAAGAGATGAGATGAGCTTAGCTTTAGAGGAGAAATTAATTTCATTTTCTAATGATGAACAGGGATCAAATGTATGTAGTTCCTTTTTCCAGCTGTTGTTGGTATATTGCACAGTATAATATGTATAGGAAGTTTACTGTAAAAATTAATTAAACACAGCAAACACCAATTCAAAACTGTGGTCATGGCATATGTTATGGTGCAAGGAGTTCCCCATTTCCCTGCTATGTATTGCTTATATCTGGAGTGATGTGTAAAATTACTGTGACTATAATCCCACCCAACCCCTCTTAGAAACATCAAAAGGAAGTTAAACATTCATGGTTGTACAAGTACTTGTATAGCATGTACATACCTTCTTTAGAGAGCTGCATCTATATCTTTATCATTGGCAAGTGAAAATGTAGACCTAGAAAGCCAATATTCACTTCACACAGTAAATGTTTCATTGACTCTCCAGACTTTCAGTGACGACTAACTTTTAAGGACTTGAAATTTTAAGCTCTGTATATCATTCAGCAATATTAATAGCATTCTAGTATTCTTGTTGACAAGGTTCTTTGAAATATAAATAAAAAAATTATTTATCCTGGTAGTGTTAAAAGCTTTCTGCAAAAAGGCTGGGATTGGGGGTCAGAAGTCTAAGGATTTATTTACAATTCTTTTTTTATTCTGCTTTTGTGTCCTCTCTTTTTATTTAATCCTCTCACTGATTTCTAATGTTCATGTGTAGAAAGTGGATTTATTACCTGATGCTCAAGGTATGTAGTGATCATAAAGCGGTATTTACCCTCTAGAGTCTAGACAGATGTAATTGGTCCATAAAGTCAGGGGACGAGATAATGGACGAGGGAAGAAAAGGTAGGAGAAATGCGCACGTAAAGCGGCACTGTCACCGTCCGGTAACTTTGCCAAATTTGCAAAGATTCCCAACGGTGACATTGCCACAGGGGGTCCAGTGGCCTGGACTTGTCCTTCGTGGTCACTGCTATCTTGATAAGAAGGGTCCTCTTCAGCTCCTGGCGCTTCAGCAAGTTCGAGAGTACATCGTTGAAGTCTGTGGAAGATCCCGTAAAACCAGCCAATTCCCTGCAGCCATTGCTGGTGTACCGTTGTCTGGATTGATACTTAGACTCCGCCTTGAGTCTAGGAAAGTCAGGTTTTAGGAGAAATACAGAGACAAAGTCATACTTTGACTCTGTATATCTCTTGACTGGGTCAGAATTTCAGTGAAATCCAAACACAGTCAAAATGAGTATTTCATAAAGATTCTATCTTTATGAAGTACTAATTTTTCAGGGGGGTGACAGTTCCGCTTACATTTTTCTTTTAAGTTTAATAGTATTGAAATGAGTTTGCAGTACTTTATTTTAGATCTTTATATTTTTTCATGCTAGTAAAGTTTAGACAATGTAATTTAATTGGTTTTATTTACAGATATAAATTAGAAGCATTTTTTTTTTTTATGTAGGTAACAACAAGTGTTTATCTAGCCCTTGCAAAAATGGAGGAGTCTGCAGATACCTTAACGAAGATTACTCCTGCAAATGTGCTTCACCGTTCATAGGGAAAGCATGTCAGACTCGTAAGTAGGAAGATTATGTGAGTAGTTGTGTTGCCTATAATTTAATAGATTTCTTAAAGAGCTCCCTAAGCACCATAACCACTAACCCATCCCCAGTGCTCATAGCCCATCATTGCCAACCGTGTTTGTATATACAATGTGAATGTTTGCTTTTGCACTATGCTTGCTTTAATAGAGGGGCTAGGCTTTGAGCGCCAATAACTCTGGTTCCTTTAAACCACTCAAAAAGATTTTACGTAAAAATTGAGGAACAACACCCAAAGACTATGTGCATGTTTACCACTAGAATATGCGTAGAATTTAGTGGTTATGGTGCATTTCTACATACCTACCAAGTGTCCCTATTTAGGATCCCTATTTTGTGCCCAAATCCCTGTCCTTCTCTCCTATTCTAATGTCCCTCTTTTCTAAGAGCTCGATATTGTTGGTGTGCCTGAGTGTATAACAGAGCTCAATAGCAATAATACTCACAGTTTGTCTTTAAACTACAATAAATGTGTTTAGAAATCAGTCTGTGTAAAAAGGATACATTGTTCTTGTTCTAAGTTACATTTTAGTTGCATAAATTGTCATTAGTAAATAATCTAACATTTTGTAAGATATTAATGATTTAATTGCCATGTAAGCTTTAAACATCTTACCAGATACTTTGATAAATACATCCTTTAGCAATTTTACTTACCTCGCCTTATTGTATTTGATTATTTGTTGTGTGATATATTTAATTAGTTCTATTTTTCTATTTAGGTTGTGCCAATGCTCTAGGAATGGAAGGTGGAGCGATAACAGATGGCCAGGTAACCTCTTCATCCATGTACCATAGCTTCCTTGGCATTCAGCGCTGGGGGCCAAACTTAGCCCGTCTAAACAATAAAGGGATAGTGAATGCGTGGACTGCAAACAGCTATGACCAACATCCGTGGATTCAGGTATTATCTCATCTTCCAAAATACACATAACAACATAGTTAATTCTCAATTTGTTCCATATGTATCAGTGGAAGACTTGATACTTTTGGCCTGGGAGCTAGTACAAACACATACAGTATTAGTCACTAAACAAAATTCCGACTGCGTTGACAATTCTCTGAATGCGGTTAGGATTCGGTCGGTCTGACGGACTCTGCAACATTGGTTTGGATCAGTGATTACTGCATGGCGGCCAATGATAAACCGAATGCATCTGGCCGTATGCTCATTTATTAATTATCGTTTACTTGCTTTTTGCAAGTAAATAGATCATTTGAAGAACTACTTGCCTAAATATAGTCCACCCATGCCCCTACCTGTGGGAATCGGGTGGTTAATATTTAGAATTTTAGCGGGGGACCTATTGTACCCTCCCTTGACCCCCACCCATGCCGGCTGGTTAGGTACACTAAGTTGTACAAAAAAGGGTGGGATGAACTAGTGTCTCCTCAGCCGGCCTCCCCCCCATGCCAGCTGGTGGGGGGCACACTATTTTTAATACGGGTGTTTGACATACCATTATCCACCCTCCAAAATAACAGTAACCATCCCTAGGTGGCTAGTGGTCCATGATCCCCTAGCCACCTCCTAAAATATTGTCCCTTCCTACCCTCATCTCCCTAATAATAGTGAGGAGGGGCCATGAAATCTAAAACCTGTAGAATAATTACACCTAGCATGAGAAGTCTTCTAATTCTTCTTTTCTTCAGCCCCAAAAAAGGCCAAAAAAATACATAATTCCAGATGCTACTAATTAAAATAAAAAAAAGCCCAAACATTTGAAAAATAAAAACTGCACTGCAACATAAATGAATCTATCTTGGAGAGCTCGCCGAAGAATATGTGCTCATGCCGGGGAAATCCCTTTTATATGCTTCCCACACTAAGCTTGCAAAGTGTGGGAAAATTTCCCAAGCTTTGCAATTTGACTAAGAGCGCTCTGATTGGTTGGCTAGTACCCCAACCATTTAGAGCGCACTGGCAGCCAGGTCTCTCTTCTCTCTATAACTTTTTTAAAATTAAATCCATGCTCGGAGTTGAATTCTGAGCCTGGATATGTTGCATTCGCCTGCAGAGATCGACCCATCTGAAATCCAGATCAAATTCAGGAACGTTTGGGGCCAGAATTTCCAAAATTAGATGCAGATGAATTCCATCAACAATGTCTGTATTTTGCAGTCCGAATGGCCCCGTTTGCAGCTATTTGATTTTGTCCCATTCTGACTTGAATAACCTTGATAGTCCAATTTGAGATCAAAGCAGAACAGAAACCCACTTCAATATCCTTTCTTTATTCTACATGAGATATGTAATACCAATTCTGTAAGTACTAGAATATGATAACAATGTAACAGATTTACATAAGGTTAGAGTTCATTGTTCAATTATATTCTGTTTACATCCCATAGGTGAATCTGTTAAAACCAATGCGGATATCTGGAATCATCACGCAAGGAGCTAGTCGAATGGGTACTGCTGAGTATGTAAAAGATTTTAAAGTGGCATACCGTGAGGACGGGAGTGACTTCACCTTTGTCAAGGCTAATGAAAAAGACACTAATAAGGTGAGATTTTTTATAGTCTGATTTTAAAGTAATACCGCAGTGTTTCATACTCCACTTAGATTATTGGGTCTCCAGCACAGTGCTCTAAGAAGCTAAAGTACTTTATGTATTTGAGGTGCTTAATGAGGGTTTCAGGGCAGGGATTTCAGTACATTTCTGTTCAAATTTCTACTCACGGTGGCTAAATTTTCATTTCCCAATGGCTAGTGGCTAATGGAAATTTTGATCCCTGATATATGAAATAGTATTACTTATCACTAATTCTCCCTTTAGACTTATGTATCTTTCATATGTTTTAATGATTTTTTTTTTTTATAATGCTTAGAGCTAGGGATATGTCACCAGTAGTGATGTCCCGAACTGGTCGCCGAACGGTTCGCCACGGACTCCAGTCAGCAGACACATTCCAGCCAATCAGCAGCAGACACTCCCTCCCAGAGCCTCCCACCTCCTGGACAGCTCACTAAGAATGCAGCTTCAAGTGGATGCTGTCCAGGAGGTGGGATGGTCTGGGAGGGAGGGTCTGCTGCTGATTGGCTGGAATGTGTCTGCTGATTGGAGTCCGTGGCGAATCGTTCACGAACCGTTCGGCGAACAGTTCGGGACATCACTTGTCACCAGATCTGAGATTGATGGGAGTCATACTGCCAGGCAGCAGCTGCTATTTCAGAGCAAAATCAGAGGATTACCCGCGGGATATGAAAAGACCCCAGTCTTGCAGTATGGCGATCTGTGCTTCACCACTGATGCTTAGATCTCACTGTAATCAATGATATTTCTTCTGTACACTTTGTCGGCTACAGGAATACCTTATTTATATCATTATCAGAAATTCCTTGTTAATTAAAGATCAGTGGAGACTCAAAACTACATATTTTTTTTCTGTATGTGCTGAATTTCACTCTTGTAACAGCAGTGTATAATGAATGGATAAATAAGACACGTGAGGCCTTTTCCCTTACAGTGATACTATAGTGTAAGGAATCCAAAGCTGGGAAGATTAGATTCTTGAAAACTGCAATGTTTTACATAGCATGACTCAGTGACACAGGGACACTGCATCCAGACCGCTTCAATGAGCTGAAGTGGTCTGTGTGCCTATAGTGTCCCTTTAATCCAATAATGAAAATAAACATATTAATTAAACTATGTAAAGAATACCACCTAATATAAAATTATCCTTGTACGCTAAACCCCTAACTAAGCTTCCTTCCATTTCTTAAAATGTTAACAATTCCAGCCTTTCAGGGCACATGGTGTAACAGGCCAGTGATACTAATGACTTCCATGTCGCACTGTGTAGATGGCGGTGTGCTGTTAAGCTGTAAAACATTTGGCAGATATGGCTGTAATTAGAATCATTAAGAAAACATATGAATGAAGGTTGTCTAGGACCCTGGTTCATTCATGGAATGTGAGTGGCTTCAATAGAAAGATTTTAGTAGAAAGCTGACAACTAAACTCCATTTTCACGAAGCTCCCAAAAAAAGCTATAGATACATTAGGACTGACAGAAAGTGTTTAAGCTAGTTTATGAATTAGTGAAAGTTAGTGAAAGTTCTCTACATAGGTCTTTAAGATCCTATGAAATTTCTAAAGTATCTATTTTTTTTTACAATGTATTTATTATGTTTGAATATATTAACTATATAATCTACTACAAAATATTTATTTCAGACTGGAATGTGCCTTTAATATAATCAGAATATTTACCATCGATTAAAAATGTATAATGTAAACTGCTTAAAGGACCACTATAGGCACCCAGACCACTTCAGAGAAACTGCTATGTTTATATTAGGGTTAATTCAGCCTCTGGTGGCTGTCTCATTGACAGCTGCTAGAGGCGCTTATGTGCTTCTCACTGTGATTTTCACAGTGAGAAGACGCCAGCGTCCATAGGAAAGCATTATGAATTTTGAATGCTTTCCTATGAGACTGGCTGAATGCGCGCGTGGTCTTGCCGCGCATGGGCATTCAGCCGAGGAGAAGGAGAGGAGGCGGAGAGGAGGAGGAGAGTCCCCCGCCCATCGCTGGAGAAAGAGGTAAGTTTAACCCCTTCCTCTCCATCCAGCCTGGCGGGAGGGGGACCCTGAGGGTGGGGGCACCCTCAGGGCACTATAGTGCCAAGAAAAAGAGTATGTTTTCCTGGCACTATAGTGGTCCTTTAAAGGAACATTCCAAACACACAAATCACTCCTGAATGCTGCAGTGTTTGTGTAAAGAGGTGTGTTTTTAAATTTTGTAAAAGTGCCAATTTCAGTGGAAATGTTATAACTGATCCTTGTTACACCCCCTGGCTTTAATATAGATCATTGAGAAGTCTGTGATTGGACCACCAGAGAAAGTCTTGCTGGGGAAGAAGGGGAAAGCTTGCAGTGGCTGCAGATATGAGAAGTGCAGCTATTGCAAACCAGGATGTCATAAACTCTTAAAGAATAGAGATGTCGCGAACCGTGCGCGAACTTCCCGCGAACGGCTCGCCACGGTTCGCCGTGAACCGTTCGTGGTGAGCTCCGGTCAGCTGACACATCCTGGCCAATCTCCAGCAGACCCTCCCTCCCAGACCCTCCCACCTCCTGGACAGCATCATGTATGCATCATGGATGCTGTCCAGGAGGTGGGAGGGTCTGGGAGGTAGGGTCTGCTGGAGATTGGCCGGGATGTGTCAGCTGACCGGAGCTGAAGTTCGCGAACGGTTCGCGACATCTCTATTAAAGAAAACATGAAAAGCAAGCAAACAAACTTCATGTATATTTTCTTTGGGAGTATATATCTGATTTTTAATGGATTATTCTTTTCGACAATATACAGATTAAGGAACAGTGCACACATAAAAATACAGTTAACATTTTATTAAAACTAGTTAAAATCACCTGTCTCAGCAAACAAATATGGGGATTCAGTTTCACCATATGGCTATTTCACCACTACGTCACTACATCACAATCAGAATTGTGGCATAAATCAAGAAAAGATTGTCATTAATACATAATTGATTGCGAAGCATGTTGTCTTTTCTATGATGTTCATAGCACAAAATGCTGGACTCATGTTATGTCAAATAACCCTGCCAGGAATTCAATGACAATGATTTGGGAACATCAGAGAAAGAAACTTAGAGGAGGTGTACAAGTGATAAAGGAGAAGTAGTAGATATGATGCAATAATTGCATAAAAAGTAGCATACCTTTTAAGATGTGGTTGATATGACATCATATAGTTATTAGGTAGATTTTATGAAACATAATAAAATGACAGTTAAGTGCTTTGGTGAAAATGTCAATGGCGATAATTAAATGAAAGTAGTTTTTTTACTGAATATTCAGCACTGCAGAATATGTTGGAGTCTCGTAAATAATAATAATAATAATGATGTAATGCATTTTGAATTTAAAAATATTTGCATTGTACAAGTGCTAAATGATTCTCTTTTATTTGTATTTTTAGATTTTTGCTGGAAACACAGACAATGACAGTAGGAAGGCTAATATATTTAGTCCACCACTTGTTGCACAATATATCCGTATCTATCCTGTGAATTGTCGCAGAGCGTGCACGCTGCGCTTTGAACTCTATGGCTGTGAGTTGAATGGTAAGGTGTTACTTTTTATAAATTGATTTATTTTCTTTATATCTTTTCCCCCCTGCACACAACAGCTTATAAAAATCAGCTTATTTAAGTTTTAATTTTGAAATCTAAAATTTGCTTTTATTCCTCACAAGAAGCCTGGCTTGCTCTTTCAGAAATTATAATGATCTACGTTTCACGCAAACATTGTGTAATCTGGAGTGTCTATGTCTGTAAAAAGTGTTTCCACCGGTGTCGCCATCTAATGGCACAATGTGGGATAGCACTAAATCCGGAACGTGTGTACTCACATTTGCAAGTTGTCTTACAGAATCTGTATAAAGCAGTGAAAGTCTACAGGGTCCAGGATTAGGAAATAAATGGTTCTTTGGCAGATGACGGACAGTAACTCTCTGTGTTTGGCAGAGAATCACTGAAGCTGTCATGTCTCAAATGCCACAAAGTATATACTTGAACAAGTTATTGGTTTCATGAAAAAGACAATAAATAATTGTTATTAAATTGTAACAAACATGTTTTCATTTTTTGTTTAAACAATTTTAACGATTAAGTAAGCCTTTTATTTTTAAATGTGTTATATTTATATTTTTTATTTACTTTTATTTTATTTTATTTGCAGGTCACAATTTTACAATTTTTTAGCCTTTATCTTTCTTAACTCAGCTGATTAAATGTCTAAGTAGTTTTTAAATAAATTACTGCAAACAGGCCAGAAATTTTGGGGCCCCAGACGCAGACCAAGGTCTGGGCCCCCGGGGGCCTGCCCCCGAGTCTGCCCACATGACCCGCCCCCAGATCCACCCACAGGGCCCATCCTGAGTCACAAGGATGAAGTGTATGTGTACTGAATTTGGTGTGTGTATAGTGGCTGTAGAATGTGTGTAGTGGATGCAAAGTGCATCAGTAAAGTGTGTTTGTGTAGTGGATAGAGTGTGTGTATAGTAGATTTATGGTGTGTATAGTGAATGCAGAGTGTGTGTTTGTGTAGTGAATGTAGGGTGTATATAGTGAATGCAGAGTGTGTGTTTGTGTAGTGGATGTAGTGGGTGTATTTGAGTATTGTTTGTGTTTATAGTGAATGCAGAGTTTTTAATAAATGTAGAGTGTGTGTATGTAGTGAAATGAGTGTGTACTTAGTGACTGCAGATTGTGTTTGTAGTGGATGTAGTGTGTGTGTAGTGAGTGCAGAGTGTGTGTTTGTGTAGTGAATGCGGTGTGTGTGTGTTTGTGTAGTGGATGATGTGTGTTTCTGTGGTGGAGGATATATGTGTTTTTTTTAGTGGATGCTGTGTGTGTGTAGTGGATGCTGTGTGTGTGTAGTGGATGATGTGTGTGTGTAGTGGATGATGTGTGTGTTTTTGTAGTGGATGCTGAATGTGTGTAGTGGATGCTGTATGTGTGTAGTGGATGATGTGTGTGTGTAGTGGATGCTGTGTGTGTTTATGTGGTGATGCAGTTTATGTGTTTGTGTAGTGGATGCATTTTGTCTTTTTGATGGTGTGTAGTGGATGCATTTTGTCTGTTTGATGCTGTGTGTGTGTGCTGGGGGGTATTTAATTTTAAATAAAAATGTATTCCCCCCTCCCTGCTTTGGGCTACTTGCGTTTTATTTGTTTTAGAGAGTAAATGGTGGTGAACTGAATACAGAATTGCAGAATTCACTTTAAAATAGTCAAGTTGGGACAATAGCTGCATTACAACATTTTCCAGTGCAGCTTTTCTGTCCTAAAAACTCAGCCCCAAGTCAATCCCACATTTGGGCTCCTGTTTCACACATGTGGGTTTGTTCTCTGGTGTCTCCAATATGCACAACACAAACTCATCATCTGACATCTGACACAGTCACTCTGTGGAATTTGTGGCATTCTATTCTATGAGAGAGGCAGGCCAGCACATCTGGATTGCCCCCTACTCGACCAAACATTCACCAATCCTGCATTTATATCTTGTCCCCTGGCCTGTGTTCATACCTCCCATGTTGGGAAGTATAAACATGTGAGATCTTGTGGGTCTTTGGGTCATGCGCATGTGTTCCATCTGTGAACTGGAATGGCTGGAAAATATGTACATGGCCTCAATTACATCACCCCAATGACTGTAATGTCTCAGTGGATATAAAGACGACTGGAATTGCAGGCGTATAATATCTATCTATCTCAATACACATACAGACATTATCTCTAGAAATTGATTGGTGCATTCTGACTACGAATATACCATGCAAATTAGAAATATGCTTGAAATACACAAGCCCTAGTAGACATGGAGATAAAGCAGCCTTGACATAGTCTATATTTTGCACGTTCAATAAATCCGTTTCCAAATTGAGTATTCGAATAACAAATTACACACTGCCATTCACACCTAATAAGGACTCCAAATTTTTCTTTTTTAATCGGACACTCTAGGTTCTGTTTGCATGTTATGTCAGTCCCAATTGTTTGCGATCTGCTTGACACTGAGTAAGGTACCATAAGCACTTCAATAAGATGAAATGGTTATGGTGCCTATAGTGTTTCTTTAATGCCTCTACTTTATACTTTATGCTTTTAGATATATTTTGAGTTATCAAACACTAGCAAAAACTACTTAACATGCATGTCAATACAAAACATAATCTGTATCCTAAGGGATATTAGGTCCCTTAGTCCTTGAATATGCTAGGGCCAGAGGATTATTAAATCATTGTCCCATTACTGCTATCTACCAGTACAAGATCAGTGCATGTCTATAACCTGGTCCTTAGTTGTGCAAATCTGGCCAGCCTTTCCCCACGAGGCTTGCACAGTTTTGTTACTTACACAACAATGTTGTTTATAAAGTCAATGGACAATATACAAAGTAGAGAGGTTGGCTCATCAATGAAGAGTGATTTTCTGGCCTTAACATCAGACACTGGAAAAAACACATGAGACAGAAGGAAGATCTCCGATTGTTAGACCATTCAATCATTTGAATTGTCAGATAAATTTTTTTCACAGCCTACAGATATAGTTTCTTAAACTATTAAAGATATTGGGCTCTATATTAAATATTATTAAATAGGTGTCTAACAGCTTTAGTACGCTAGCCTGATAACAGCTGGAGTTGAACAGAATATTTTATTTCCCTTATAAGAGTTTAATGGAAGGAAAATATCTCATTATCTCAACTTGTCTACCATTTTAAATAAGTGATGTAAAATAATATAAAAACATAATTTACATTTGCATGACACTTCCAGACAACATTGTGTTTGCCATTTATATGCTGGAGCTTATTCAATTTGAATTGTCAGACTTTCATTAAAGCACTTGGTCGGTGGTTGGTGATAGAGATGTCGCGAACCGTCCGCGAACTTCTTGCGAACAGTTCGCCACGGTTCGCTGCGAACCGTTCGCGGTGAATTCCGGTCAGCTGAAACATCCCGGCCAATCTCCAGCAGACCCTCCCTCCCAGACCCTCCTACTTCCTGGACAGCATCCATGTTGAAGGCTGCTTCAACATGGATGCTGTCCAGGAAGTAGGAGGGTCTGGGAGGGAGGGTCTGCTGGAGATTGGCCGGGATGTGTCAGCTGACCGAAGTTCGCCGCGAACGGTTCGTGGCGAATCACGGCGAACCGTTCGCGAGAAGTTCGCGGCGGTTCGCGACATCTCTAGTTGGTGACTGCCATTAACTTGCTGAGCACTTTGCATTCATTCTTTTTTTTTTTTTTACACCGAATAAGAGATGCTGCTTATATGTGAATTAAAGGGATATTATAGTCATCATATCAATTCTAGCCTATTGAAGCAGTTTTCATGTATAGTTCATACCCCTGCAGTGTCACTGCACAATTCACTGCCGTTTAGGAGTTAAATCACTTTGTTTTTGTCTGAGCAGCCCTACCAGCACCTCCCATGGTTGTGATTTACTCAGCCTGCATGATAAAATGTTTTTATTTTCAACCAGATCTTAACTTACTTTACTCTGTAAATTAAACTGCAATAACACACATGAGGCTCCTGTACAGTCTAGCAGACCATTAACATATCAGGGCATTCTAAATTAAACAGAATGTGCAATGAAGAAAGTTTAAACATTAGATCTCTCTTTACAGGAAGTGTTTAGGAAGGCTGTGCAGGCCACATGCAGAGAGGCGCTGCTTAATAAACCAAATAATGTAACTCCTAAATGGCAGAGAATTGAGCAGTTCATCTACTGAGACATGAGCTACACCCCATAACTGCTTCATTCAAGGACGGCTGCCACCAGATTTTTTTTAGTTATTATTATTATAAGAATCCTTGCAGCATGTAATGAAACAATGTGGATGAACAAAAAGTAATGTACAAAGAGAAACTGGGATATAATGTACTCTAAATAGAGTGCCAGCTAACTTCCAGACTTGGAACAGTTAAAAGAAAAAATAAATACATGTTATTAAATAATCAAATGAGAAACTAATTACGGTATATACAGTGATGCTCGCGTACAATAAGGTAAATGCAATATCTAGTGAATGCAACCAGCTATTATGGTAACATAAGAAGGTTAGGCTCAATAAAAACAAAAACTGCCTGTTAGCAATAATGTTGAACTGCCTATTTGCAGTAATGTACGGATAGCAACTTGCTAGTTAACCCTTAGTACTGGTTGGTATCAAGTAGGTAAGTATCAAATCAACCTGTTGAGGGATCATGCTATATGATTAGTCGAAATCTGATATGGATATCTCCTTGCACACGTCTGTGCCAGGGTATATAACGGTGAAATACAGCAAGAGGGGAGAGTCACATAGCAATAGGAATATACATAATAGGAGGAGAAAACTAAGCGGTGAGTCAGAGTGAATGCTAAATCTTAAAATCGGCAGAGTATCTATCTGATACCAATTTGAATAGGTATTAAAATAATATATATGTGAACGGAAAGATTAGTACTTTGGTGAATACAATGAGATTTCCACTGCTAGAGTGATCACTGTAAATTCCCTTCCGTGCCAAAACGGGCACCTCTTTCTATTCCCACACTCGATGACAGATACGCTAAAATAATCCTCCCGTGCCTTCAATGGCACCTATTGTTGGTCCCACACTAGATCACAGTAAAGAGGAAGGCATAGTGATCTAGTGTTGGACCAACAATAGGTGACATCATCAGCCATCACCCTGTGTGGTCTGCCTGCTCCGAATCCCGATCGCATTGGCAATTCTCATATGTACTAAAGCCAAATGCGGTTAGAATTCGGTCGGTCTGACCCACATTGTCTCAGATAAGAAAATCACAGATTTTCCAAATTTATCCAAACCAATCTACAGCACATAAATTGCAAATTATCAGTCTCTCAATAGCCAACCAACCAGATTTTCAGATATTTTTTACATATACTCCATTTTAAAAAATGTCATATCGTTTCATTTCATGCTGCAAGGATTCTTATAATGGTAAAAAAAAAATTCAGGTCGCAGTTGTCCTTCAAGCTAGAGTTGTTTTGGTGCCTATAGTGTCTCTTTAAGCAGGTGTGAGTGGCTAAATATTCTTTAAAACAGGACAACTAGTGTAGAGTATTATGGGATAGCTTAACTCACTGTTCTCTCACTTCCATTTGAGTGTAAGAGCACAATTAGAGTATTCCTTCAAATGGTTTTCATCATAAAAAAAGAAAAAGATTAACACATATTTAACGGTAATTCTGCATTCATTGGGCAAAGTGAATATCCTGAAACAGCTATTCCACAATTCATTCGATTTAGCATCAGTCTCTTACTCACTGCACTTGGTCTAGTCCTTTTTTTTCCGATGTAGCTATATTAGTTTAATTGTATACTGTGCTTTCATTGCATTTATCATGCTGGCTGTGAGCTTGAGATTCTGAGCACTCCCCCCTTTTCCACCCTTCTGTAAACTGTTGTTACAGTGTATTTCAACATGGTAGGTTGCTCTCAGCCGCTTGGAATGAAGGCCTACGCAATTTCTGATAAGCAAATCACAGCCTCCAGCGTCTACAAGACATGGGGACTTGATGCATTTACATGGTACCCTCACTTCTCCCGGCTCGATAAAATTGGGAAGTCAAATGCCTGGACAGCAGGAGAGACTAGTCACTCAGAATGGCTGCAGGTAGGCAAATAATATTTTTTTAATTTAATGTCTGTATAATATATTGTCAGTGCTTTATTTATTTATTTATTTTATATTGCTGGGAATTCAAACTGAAGTTAAAATATATAGACAATATAGGGCATTTTTCTGACACCTTGCACAATTTCCACTGACCCTTTACTTTGCACTTTTGTTTATGCATAAGTGTATGCCAGTGGTGTGTGTGGGGACACTGCTTGTGATGTTGAATGTATGTTGAGACGCATCTGTGGTGATGCACTGCTTGTGGTATTGCGTGTTTGTAGGGACCTAGCTTGTGGGGGAATTAGGGTCTGTAGCCTGTGTGTGGGAAAATAGAGGCTGTAGGGTGTGTTGCAGGATAGAGGCTGTAGTGTTTATGGAAGTATGAACAGTAGGGTAATAGGGGTTAGATTGTGTGTGATGGGCTTCCTGTGGAGAGAGAGCAGCTATAGTGAAGGGATTGGGGGTTGTAGTATAAGGAGGTTGAGGGCTGTAGTGTAGGGGGTTAGAGGAAGTAGTATAGAGAGGGATAAGAGCTCTGGTGTAGGGTGTAGACGCCTTAGTGTAAGAGAGTTGGGGCTGTAGAGTAAGGAGTTATGGGTTGTAGTGTAGAGGGTGTAGACTGTAGTGTAAGTGGGTGGTGGCTGTAGTGTATTTGGGTGGTGGCTGTAGTGTAGAGGGATATGGGGCAGTAATGTGGTAGGATGTGGCTGTAGATTAAGGGAATATAGGCAGTAGTGTAGGGGGGTAGTGTCTGTGGTGTGAGGGTGTCGGGGGGGCTGGGAAGGCTGTAATGTAGTGGAGGACAGGGTCTGGAGAGTATGGGGGTAGGAGCCGGAGCTGTTTGTGGTGCATGATAAAAACAAACAAAAATTTATTTAAAAAATGATACATTTTAATCCCACTTCCCTCTTGCTTAACTTGAAGGAGAGGATAACATTGATTTCTGGTAGGCCAGTAATAGCACAGGTTTGTGCACAGCCTGCATGGTGAATGCTGTGCTCCTGGCAGGCAATGGTGAAGAATCAAAGTGTTTCCATGGTAACCCACGGCAATCCTCTGATCCACTCCAGGGAGTGATACATGCTCCTATGATACAAGCTCCCTGACCCCCCATTTCATTCCACTGGTCTGCTTGCATTGGAGACCAACAGTCTTTGAAGCTGGAAGGGCGCCCCAATAGAGAGGCACCTGGGAGTGCCTCTGCTGACAGCCTTAACTGGTTTTGATGGAACAGTTATCAGTACTCCATCCTGGCCAAAACAGAGCAGGCCACCTCTGGAGTGAGAGAGCTGTGTGGTCACCTGGAGCCCCTGTTGCCATGGCACCCTGTGCTGCTACACAGCTCGCACACCTCAAAGTACAGCTCGACTGGCCAAACCTAAAGCAAGATATAGCTTGTGTTTGATACATATACAAGGAGGAGAAACAAGCAGTAAAATTGTGCAGTTGGTTTCAGAAGAATCGTATTCCATCTGAATTATAGGCAACTGACGATTCATCCGAATTACTAGACTCCAAAATGCCATATGTACAGATATCACGAAACAATCATCGAAGGACATGGATGTGCCGCTATGTTTGTTTTGTGATTCTGCCCCCCCGCCCCCTTTTTTGTATAGCCACCACCTGCTGGCCATGAGTTGAGACAGGGAGTAGACAGAGACCTGTCCACTCATCATTATTTCATTTTAAACCCCTACCTGCTGCCCACTGGTGGGGACAAAGGGGAAATCTGTTCCAGGTCTACCCCAGTATTTTACAGGCCCTCCTGGGATGGAGGCTTTCTTAGTAACTTTCTCCCAAAATGATTGCATAGACAACATTTGTCCAAACCGAACGCCACATGGACGAAGTTGGAATTGTCCAAACCAAAATGTTTTTCTGGTCGAACCAAATTTTTTCACCATTCACCTATGTCTAATTTACATATATATTCTACAGTTTGATATTATATCCAATTACGCTATTTTGGTTCTACTTTCTTTGTATTTTCCTGATTATCTTTATCGGTGTTACTTATACCACATGTATAGCATGTTACATTAGAAATACCAATCTAGGCAGGAGAAATAATTACTCAAGTGATTTTGCTGTTTGGCATATACATCACCAACAAGAATGTAAAATAAAAGAATCTCTGACAACTTGTTAGTTTAGCTTGCAAACATCAAAAGACCTGTTTTTTTTATCTGCTAATCAAAACTGCACATGTGAGTCCTCCAAGAAGTCTCGGGTAATAAATAATAATAATAATTGATAATAATAGTAAAAAAAATAATGATTTTTCCCCCCTTAATTAGAGAACAAACATAATTTTATATTAAATTGGTGTTTTTAAGGTTGTTGGTACATGATATGCTTATATATAGGTCACTGTAACTTTATGTACATCTGTCTGACTATGCAAGGGTTAATTCCTCCATGCCATAATTCAGCCTTATGTAAATAAGTGAAGACTGTGATGCTTAAAATGCTGTTTCAGCTTGAAAACAGATGTTATATAAATTCAGACCTTGCTGTGTTTTTTGGTTTGAGTTTCTTTGCATTCCTGCAGTTTGTCTACTCTGCCCTTGACAACTTACTCTCAAGGTTATAACCCTGCTTCTAGATAGCTCTGTTTTAATAGCCTTTTCGCTTCCTTGAAAGATTTGCTCTGTTATTATTCTCTACTTTATCTTATTCTCAGGCTTAATCTTTGACCCATATTCACTGGTAAGGGAGTAAAGCCACAGTGACGCCCCTCATAATGAGTGAAATTAAATGACATGATTCATTATTACATACTCACATACTTACATACTTTATTATAATGAGGAATAAGAAAGTTATTGTACTCCTAAAATAAACTAAAGCTGAGCCCTAGAAATACAGAATATTATATTTACTATATACCGAGTTGCTCACAGTCATTGAATTTAGCTCTTCAGTAAAATAAAAGATCTGAAAATATGGCGGTTTTGCATTTAAACCCATTAAATCTAACTTATAATGCTCTCTGTAGGTCTAATAGTTAACTCCAAGACTAAATTGCTGAATGTCTACAAATTTCTGTTGCCAAATACAGGAGACTGCCTGTAACCTCAGAATGTCACTTTTATTTCCTGGTCTGTGGTTCGTAGGTTTCATTTCTCGTACATTGCCATCTCTCGCCACAGTCAGCACATTATAGGCCTTAGTCTCAAGTTCATTGCTGGTCATAGCTTACTGTTTCTAATCTGAAAACGCTAAACTGCAACGTACATCCCATTGTCTGCCTTGCAATAGGACTAAATCACACCACTCTGTTCATCTCTATGGAGGTGTGTACACCTAGGAAGTGCCCTAAATGTGTGCTTTAGGAAGAAAAAATAAAAACCCCAAAAGAATGCAGGATGGATATGCTGGCCTGCATTTCCCTGTAAACTGTAGCCAGTTTAATTAATAACAGCCATGGCACTTCCTTAATCGCGCTTGGTGTGCTGCTGTCTAGTGTCTTTTTTGTTTTTACTCCTAATGCCTGGTAATGTGATCTTAGACATTGCAACTTACTGCCTGAACACATGTATTGGTCTGATTCCTTTATTTGCTATATTGGTTCTGTCATAAACCCCCAGCTGCCTCATAAACCTGCCTGCTCAGCCCTTTGGGGAAAGTGTTGCTTGTTGTCGGTGAAGATCTAATGTTGTGTTAGCAGATATCTACACACTAGGGTTCCTGATTACGACACATAGATCTCTGGCTACAGATAGAAATCAGAGGGCATGCCGTGTTGACTTGCTTAATTATGCAAGGGTTGTTTTCATATCTTAGTAAATAAGAAACGTCACTTATTTTTGCAATGTTCTGAAAGAGGAATACACTCTTAAAATCCCAAATGGAAGCAATATTTTGTGTCATGGGTATTGATTTTCTACATTACCCTTCGGCGCCTGCATAGAATCTCTAAACGAGTCAGGGATTTCAGCAGAAAACACCTACACCTGGTTCTATCAACAAAGGGAGACAGTGGGATTGCTCTTATAACAGCAGAACGGGTGCCTGCAGGCTAGAAATACAGACAATTCAAATCCTCAAAAGACACCCCAGGGTGGATTTACAGCCATTTTATCTAATGCATCGAGAGGTAATGAATGGAAAATAAGATAGATCTGAATGTCCCTGATTTTCAGTCTCTTGTCTCCTCATATGTCATTGCTGTGTGTCTAACCTGAGTGCCTAGCCCTGTTTATCAGACCCTGGAATCACTCCTTTCATTACAGTGGGTTTCCAGGCGGGCAGGGGTTAATGATCTACATGGCCTCCCATGGCATCAGCATGGTGCCCAGGGTAACAGTGATTTTTCTAGTAATACCCCTGAGTATGCAGGATCCGGGGAGTTTGGCGAATGCCAACTTATTAACCGCAGCTGCAGGACAAATGACACGCACATGCCACATTACACACATCTCTGTCTAATATATTATTATTGGTTATTATTTATATAGCGCCAGCTTATTCCGCAGCACTTTACAATAAGAGGGAATTTACCAAAATGAGACAATAGCAAAATGTAACAGGAACAATAGGTAGTTAAGGACCCTGCTCAAACGAGCTTACAGTCTACAGGAGGTGGGGTATACAAACACATTAGGAGTGGGTATTGAGGGAGACAGCAAATAGACATGGTGGGAGAGTAGCAGAACTGGAGGTGAGAGTGGAGTGTGGCCCTTTAGGAGAGAGCAAGAGGAAGGATTGAGAGAAAGAAGTTACTCTTGGAGGCCATAAGCAATCCTGAAAAGATGGGTTTTGAGGGACTTCTTAAAGGATTAGATAGAAGGGGATAGTCTGACAGGGATAGAGAGGTTGTTCCAAAGGAAAGGAGCCGTCTGCGAGAAGTCTTGCAGGCGTGAATTTGCAGTAAGGGTGCGAGCAGCAGACAGGAGAAGGTCACCAGTAGAGCGGAGAGACTGAGCGGGGGCATACCTATGAATCAATGAAGAAATGTAAGAGGGGCTAGAGTTGGTTAGGGCTTTATAGGTATGGGTTAGTATTTTAAATTGACACCTGTAGGGTACAGGAAGCCAGTGTAAGGATTGACAGAGGGGTGAGGTGTGAGAGGAGCGACAGGAGAGAAAGATCAGCCTGGCAGCAGCATTCAACACAGATTGTAGGGGGGCAGTACAGCTTCTGGGGAGACCAATTAGGAGAGAATTACAGTAATCCATGCAAGAAATTACTAGAGCATGAACAGGCTCCTTGGAAGTATCTTGCGTAAGAAAGGGGTGTATGCGTATATAACTTAGATCACATAAAAGCATACAAACACAGCATACATCAATCATACACTTCATATATGTTGTAGAGACAGATCACACATATAGAAAGCACACATCACATAAACATAACACATATTTAAGAAGTGAACAGCCCATTTATTAAGGGTGTACACTCCATTTTTTTGTTAATTACTTGCTGTGGAGGGCTCATTAGAACCAGTTGTTTAGCACAACTGACAGGTTATTATTAATTAATAAGTACCCGAGTAAGACTATTAAATAGACTCCAATCAAATTTCAGAAAAGTGATTCTAAAACATTTTTTACAGGTTAACTATTTTTGTATTCCTGGCATCAGAACCACTGCAATAAAATAAAGTTGTTTTAGTGCCTAGAATGTCCCTTTAATAGGGGCAATCAAGTGGTAGAAGACTGACCAACTCCTGTGCTGTTTATTTATTTATTACTGGTGTTTATAAACTACCAACATATTCCGCAGCGCTGTACAATTAGTGGAGAACGTACAATATACACAGACAAATACAAAAGTTAGAGAGGGCCCTGCCCGTAAGCAGAGATCTAGCCTTTTAAGCTCTTTTATATAAAGTGCTTAGCTAGATTGCCCGAGAGCTTACAATCTAAAGGATACAGTGGGGATTTGAAACAAGAGGTAGCAGGGTAAATTTGGAAGAGTTGGCTAAAACAAGTTGTAACGGATCACCTGGCACCCCGACTGGGTACCTCCGTTGAAGGATGCTCCTAGCGCTTCCTGAGGACTCCAAGCACTGCAGCAGACACCACAACCACTGAACCGGAGAAGCATATGAATGCTCTCAAGCATATGAATGTTGTATACAGCCGAATAGGAAAAACCATGCGAATAAGTTTACACAAAAAGAAAGAACAGTGAACACACGGTTCAGCGTCTCTGTGTATACACCCGTATGAACTGCCCCCCGGGCCAAAACCCAGGGTGTAGTGACAGATGCCACACAGAGACCAATGTACCAATATGGGACTCCAGAAATCCCAAACGGGGCTTAACCCCAAGAAAACAAGAAACAAAATATATAGCAAAATGCAGTCAGTCTCCCTATGTCATAGGGACTAACCACATATCTGGAAATGGCTATAGCGATAGAGTGTTGGATGAAAAAATATATATAACTAGAGACCCAAAAACAAAAAAGTCAAATGAAGTGTATACAAATGTGACTCAAGTTCCATGCCAAATAAAGAGGGTATGCACGGGGATAAAGATCAGCCATCTAATATTATATCAAAACCCTAAATTATCAGCTTTATTATATTACACTATAAGGGTATGAGTAACAAATGGTTAAGTCCCCGGCTAGATACCTCACTGACAAAGGAGGCAACACGGTCATCTTAAATAAATCAGATTATGTTTCAATGGTACATAGACTAATCGGAGATAGGGAAACATATGAAATACTAAAGGGCGACCCCACACAGAAATATCTTGCTGAATTAAAAACAATTCTTGACGCGGCATTATCCTTATCCTTAATGTCTAAGGATGAATATAATTTCATGTTTGTTAAGAATCCGGTTACCGACACATTTTATGCACTTCCGAAAGTACATAAACAGCAACCTATACTAAATGGAAGACCTATAGTCTCTGGCAGAGGGAATCTGACCCAAAACATAAGTCTATATGTGGATCAGATCCTAAGGAAATTTGTGTTTGAACTCCCTTCATACTTAAAAGACACTAAACATACATTAAATATCATAGAAGAGATTAAAATCACTGGCCATGCTATCCTCTGTAGCCTTGATGTGGAGAGCCTTTATAGCTCAATACCACACGAGGTGGGTTTACAACATCTTCGAGCAATTCTGGATAGCAAACCAATGTTTTCATTAAGACATAATGAGTTTGTCCATGATCTGATGCAGTTCATTTTAACACACAACCATTTTATCTTCCAGGGGAAATACTACCACCAGGTGAGAGGAACAGCTATGGGGACGGCTTGTGCCCCCTCATATGCCAACCTCCACCTGGGGTGGTGGGAGAGCAGTATGGTGTTTAATGAACATATGCAAAAATATACAAGACATATAAGAATATGGAAAAGATACATCGATGATGTATTGATCATATGGACAGATACCTCTGAACTCTTCTTAGAGTTTGTCAACAATTTAAATCTAAATCATATCAATCTGAGACTGACGAGTGAAATTGGCGGTAACAAAATTAACTTTTTAGACCTTACCATTTCCCTGTCAGATGGAGGGGTTCTTACATCTACCCTCTTTCGGAAACCTACGGCAACTAACAATCTGCTGAACTGGACAAGCTACCATCCACCCTCCCTGAAAAAAGGGATTCCAGTTGGACAGTATCTACGACTAAGACGCAATTGCTCTACCGTAGAAGATTTCAAACTGAAGGCGAAGACTTTGCAATATCAGTTTAAACAAAATGGGTACCCAAATAAATGTTTAAAAAATGCATACAAACGGGCATTATTGGCAGACCGTAAAGATCTCCTTTGTGAGAGCAAGGCAGATCCAACACAGGAGATCATTAGATGTATAGGCAACTTCGATGCAGGTTGGCATCAAATTATGAGTATCCTCGATAGGTTCTGGCCCCTTCTACACCAAGAACCACACCTCCATAGGGTGATTACACCCAAGGCATCAGTAACAGCAAGAAGGGGGCGTAATATCAAGGATATACTAGTCCCTAGCCACCTCAAAACAGTATCTCCAAAACCTTCGTGGTTGAAGTCTCCCGTCTTAGGCACATATCAATGCGGTAGGTGCAAGGCGTGCAAATTTATACATAGACCCTCTAAAACATTTACAGACTCTTCGGGCACACAAGAATTTAAAGTGCGTAACTTTTTTAATTGCCAGTCTAAGGGCCTGGTATACCTACTTATATGCTCGTGCAACGAGTTATATGTGGGAAAAACCTTTCGTAAATTTAAACTCAGAATTAGGGAACATGTCAACTCAGTTAATCCCGGAAGACACATTGACACCCCAATTTCTAAACATCTGAAGTTCCATCATGGGGGGTCCCCAACAGAGATTAGATTCTGTGGCATCGAAAGGGTTACACTTGGTCCAAGAGGAGGAGATCTAGATAAAAAATTACTTCAAAGAGAGAGCTTTTGGATTTATAAGCTCAAAACCTTGGCACCATATGGATTAAACGAGGGTTTTTCCTATACACCCTTCATTGCTGTTTAAAGTACCTTGGTCTGAAAATGTTTTGTTTCTCGCCCCCATCTCTCTCTAATGACTCACATATGATATGTATGTATTTACACTTTCGTAAAATAGCTGACTATGTCGGATACACTTGTAAATTTTGTAATATAGCGTGTGTAGTGTTTAATTTATATATGTAAATACACTTAATTTTTCTTTCAGTATTTTTTTACAGTTTCGATTATTATTGTAGACATGGATGTCACTTTAATGACCATATAAATTTAATGTTTCAAAATGCATATTTGTGACATATGTAGATGGGCATACTTCTCTTTATGTATCTTCCATGTTCATACTCCAGGTGATCATTATGGAGCACTCATATTTAGATACCTGGACATTTTAAGAATATGGAAGCCCATATACATAGTTAGTTTTCATTTTTGAATTCACATATTTGATTCTATAGGCTTTTACAATAAGATGTATCATTGGAACTGAATACTTACCTCTTATTTGTTATTCGTTTGTATTATTATATACATCTAGGTTTGATTAACAGTTTCAGGAGATTCTGCTGAATCACCATATTCATCTTTCATGTATATATTTGATCTATAATGCTTATTATTATCTTTGCAGATGATGCATCTGAGCAACAACCTTAGATTTTCACGATCTGGATATTCTCCGTTTTGTGCGATCTGGGTGTTATACCCTAGAGAGGGCACATTGATAGGTTCTATTAGGGGTATTTTGGGATGCTTTACTATAGACACTCTTGTCTTTATACAAATCCCTGACTCCTTCCCACTATTTGACTATTGGTAATTTTAATTGATTATTCTCAAGGTCTTTGAATATGTCCTCCGGTCCGATGCGCACCCGCCCACCTACTTGTGAGGGGCGGAGTAATCTATAGCTGTAATAGGGGTTTGCCGTACAATTTACATGCCGAATCACGCCTACTACGTGACCCAGCTGGCTTTCCGTTCTGTTGGCCAAAACACATGATCCACAATATACCGGGTCACGTGTCCGGCATTAAGCCCCGCCCCCAGACGTACTCCGTGACTCATTAGGACACGACCATAGATCGGAGATTATGTACAGCTGGGTATGCACACCCCCAGACCCTATTGGTCTAAGACATTCATGCCTCTTGATAATCTTTGTATTTAAGAGACCCTTAACTAGTCTCCTGTTGGCCCCTGACGAAGGAGCTCCTCTATAGCACCGAAACGTACGTCGGGCATTTCCTTCTCATATTTTTTATATGAGCACTGGGCACTGGTGTTTGTAGCACCATGATCTATATCTAACACTTATCTTTATTTTTATCTATTTCCTATGCCTGTCTAGTTAGATTTACAGGGAGAGAGGCTTTGCTTAATTGTAAATATCAGTCTGTTTTTAGACTGAAAACTAACTGTTTTTCACTTTCCATCTCTCCATTTTACCTTTACTAGCTCTATTGTGAGCATTTTGCTATACTAACTATTGACACTTCAAAGTGGGGTATCTAGCCGGGGACTTAACCATTTGTTACTCATACCCTTATAGTGTAATATAATAAAGCTGATAATTTAGGGTTTTGATATAATATTAGATGGCTGATCTTTATCCCCGTGCATACCGTCTTTATTTGGCATGGAACTTGAGTCACATTTGTATATACTTCATTTGACTTTTTTGTTTTTGGGTCTCTAGTTATATATATTTTTTCATCCAACACTCTATCGCTATAGCCATTTCCAGATATGTGGTTAGTCCCTATGACATAGGGAGACTGACTGCATTTTGCTATATATTTTGAATAAGTTTACACTCCTAGCAGTCAAACTGGAACAGCATACAATAAATCCTCCCCCAATAATGAGACGACACTTCACTTTGAGGGTTAAGCAGGAACTGACTAGACTGGCACATACAGCCTCTTTTATTCCCAATCCACAAACTTAGTACTGCCCACAGGGTTTTACATAACCAATAACACACGTACATTACAGAAAGACACTCCCACACAAAATCCTCCCCTCTGGCTGTGATATGATTACTGAACACAATGGTTAATCTAATTATCACAGCCAGAGAAATACAGTTTTTCCACATTATTCATAACTTGAAAGTATGCATCACATTCACATTTCAGAATCAGCATACTCCAAATACAAACATATGTCAAAATCATACATATTGGTCCAGTGGTTCAAAAGTTAAGGAAAAGTCCTATTTGACCAAATGCAGCATGGCTTTTCTGCCCAAAACCAGTTCCACAGAGTCTTCTATCCTGGAGATAATTGGGGAAGTAATCCAATTATCTCCAGGACAGAGGCAAAACTCCATTAGCCACATGGCAGCAAAAGACAATAAAACACATAAAAACATAACTGTGCAGCCATTGCACAAAACAGGTACATTCAACATATCCCCAGATAGCTCAGATCTGAGCGCACATTATTACTGAATGGCGCTCAGAGCACACACATACAGTTCAATTGCCATGGAGCCAAAGTCTTTCCCATAGTCTTTCATTATACAAATGGGCTCCATGGCATAGCTATCTGGGTAACACTGCTCACATAGGGAAAGTACCAAAAGACCCAGCTTTTGGGTCTTTGCAGGAGAAAATCCATCCTTTCAACATGGGGCCATAGTCACAGGGCAGGAGGCCGGCAATCAGTCTCCAATGCCCAGTGGCGAGGCTCGTTCTGCCACACAAGTTAACAGAGAGTTACAGCTATTGGTAAAATATAAAGGGAATGAGGAGGTAATTGAGTGAGACTCTCAAACAGCTGGAGGAACATGCTATATATTTAGGGGGAACCTGGGTGGGTGGGTAGTGCTGAGAAAAAATGCAGAGCTTCAGTATTGTTGGTTGTGGTAGTGTGAGATGAGACCTCTGAAAATAAAGGTTTTTTTACTTATCGGAATCCAGTGCCGAAATGCACGCTTCTCTTGGGACGTTGTGCATCTCTGGTTACCTTTGGATCACAAACGGTGCTGTGGTTTTAAAATCCGTGTTTAAAGCACTGCTCCATTTCTAAGGGTGATTGTAAAAATGCAGGATGAAGCATTATACCTATTTGTGTTTATATGCATGTCAAGCTGGGGATTCTGGGAGAATTGTGGGAACATTATTTCTTGGAATTGCTGGTTCCAAGGCAGACTCTCTCTATAAGTAAAAATATATAAATATTGCTTATCGTACACATCAAGTGTGCGTATCTCATATACATTGTGAAATATCTGCAATTGTTATGTAAAGAAGTGTATTAATGTGTATATTTTTGGGGAGGATGGCCATAGACTGACTGGCCCTAGGGCAGAGACGATAATCTAAATACATAATTGATATGTGTCTAAAGCACAAAATCACATATTCTCAATCATTTATCATTTCACTGAAGGAGAAAATTGTGCACATGCACAGTATATCTGTCAGTAGCATTGCAGTCACAAAATAAATAAGTCCCTCGTAGCTTCTTTTCAGTTGTGCAAGTGATTCACATTCTTTCAATGAGTAAGAGGATGCCTGCATTTCTGCCAACATTTCAAATGGACAAAGAGGGGGGACACTTTAATATTAGGGGTGTGAGTGGGCGGCTGTTTTGAAAAATTGTAGGTGACTTGCCAATAACAATTTGTACAACTAAAATATAATTTAGAACAAGAACAATGTATCTTATTTACACAGACTGATTTCTAAACATATTTATTGTAGTTTAAAGACACACTACTGTGATTATTATTGATGTGGAGCTCTATTATAATTGATGTGGGAGGGTCTGGGAGGGAGGGTCTGCTGCTGATTGGCTGGGATGTGTGACTGTGAGGTACAGGGTCAAAGTTTGCCGCATATGTTCTCCGTCCGTGGCGAACCGTTCGGGGCATCACTAGTAGTGGGTATGTGATTGTTGCTGCATTGTGGATCTTCTCATTCACTTAATTGGGATAATTCTGTGCAGAGACAGAGCTATTTGAACCATACACTTCACAATTAATATGGGATCCCCTTGTTATATTTCCACAGTTTCCACTTTTGTGAATTAATCCAAATAACACAACACATGCCCTTTCTTGTCTATGTAAAAAAAAGAACAAATAAAACATGTTTTTTTCTATTTATTTTCAAACTACCTAAATGACACATATTTTCCAATTATAACGTGTTTTAATAGATTGACCTTCTAGTTCCTAAGAAGATCACAGGAATTATCACACAGGGTGCAAAGGATTTTGGAACTATTCAGTATGTGGAATCCTTTAAAGTGGCTTACAGTGACAATGGCACAACATGGATAATATATAAGGACAGTCGGACAAAAACAGATAAGGTATGCAACTTTAAATGTCGAGAGTATGTACTGACAATCCACTATATAATAAACTCATATAAAAATGAAAGAGGTGAAAATGAGTTACAATAATGATTGCTTAGTTGATGTACTCATTTGCATTTTAGCCAGCAAAATTTAGATACACTGTATATAAATGTACATGGAACAAATAAAGGTTGAAAAAAAAAACACGTTAAAGTGTATTTTTAATGTGAGTCAGTCAATGTGCTAAAATAGGTGTAATTTGGGAATATATTAGTAGCTATGACATTTACAAATAACTTTTTTTACTATAAACTGTAATGCTATTATTACAGATAAAGTATTGAAAAGTTGTTCTGTCCGCATGCAAATTGCAAGAATTTAGAATTTTCACATATTTCTCATAACAATCCCATGCCTCCCAACAGACTCCTCTCTTGCCGTTTGAAGTCCCAGATTTGTTTTTTAGAGTCTCACTTCTGGGTACACCAGAAACAACTTTCAGTAGACACGCTAGTGCTGTGAATTCATGAAATTCAGTCTAACTGTGCTCTGTCTGTGACCTACCCTAATTGGGGCTGTCTATTGGGCAAATTTTCTGTGCAGACAATGCTCATAGCATCACTGGTATGCCATGTTTGGTCCTCCCCAGTCCCCACATCCTGCATTTATATTTTCCAATGTCCTAAAATAATGCTTTGTGTATTAAATACTCATCTTATTATAACAATCCTACTATAATAGCCTGACGATTTTATTGCATCTTAATTTTAACTTGTAAATTGCACTACTCTATATCTTCACAGACATTCCTCGGAAACAGTGACAACTATACGCACAAGAAAAACATGTTCAACCCACCATTTTCAGCACGCTTTGTGCGTATCCTTCCTCAGTCATGGCATGAACGCATCACATTGCGCATGGAACTACTGGGATGCGAAAATTAAATACAGACTGAAGCTGATTGAACCGTCACTGCGCACATAATGTTCAACCTACTTTTTCACTGCTTCTCTCGTTTTTTGGATTCCACCTGCTGCTATGACATGAAATCACCTGAAACTAAGACTTTTTATGCAGTGATAAAATTATCTGTATTTACTAAACAGTCAGGTGACGAGCATCACTTGTCGGAAGTCTCATAAAGCTGACGATTTCTTTGACTTCCTGTGCTTCCACCAGTTCCTTCAAATCAAATGTAATTACATTTAACCCGCAATCCATTGATAATGTACTGACATGAGTGGGATACCTTTCAATGTGGGATATTTTATGTAATGTAAAATGTGTAATGTGCACTTTGGTTTAAAAAAAAAAAAAAAAGATTTTATTAACCAGTTCAGTATTTTAGCCATTTCAGTGCCACAATAGTTGGAGCTTGGCTTGATATGCAGTGATCACCTCTGTGCAAATTAATGGGTTATAAACTTGCAGTTAATTCATTTGGAGTAAAGCTAATCAGATCAATTCTCTTTGGTGTTTTTTTTTTTTAGTAATTAGCCACTTTTGTGTTAAATTAGAGTTTTCTGTGTGTTCTTTACACATGTGTATATAGTATGTGCAGTTTTAATACACATATTTTACTTACTAAAGAAATTGTCTGCTAAAGCTCATTGACTTCCTTTTTTTTTCTTTTTTCTTGCACTGTCCATTACGTAATAGTAGCCTACAAGATGATGTTGTTCTGATGGGTTGAATGTTGAGTGTCTGCCTTGTGATTATCTCAGTAGGAAATCATATTAGACTTCTTACGCCCCACTAAATTGATGTTTCTGGCTTTCCCGGCTGCAACAATCTATGCATCCTCCTGTTAAAGTAGATAGACCTATGCACTGCTAATGCTGTTTTTACTTGACCACTCTTTAATGTGTTACAAGATCTTTGACACCCACTGTGGATTATAGTTATACCCTTCACAATATAGTTATGGTGGATGGAAAGAAATATTACTTTCTAATGTTTTGGTCCTGATTATCCCTGCAATAATATACAGATAAGACATTGATTAAATTGGCCAAATATGTAAAAATGAGTGTTTAGGTGTAGTTGAAGACTGCCAAACATTCTAAAATAGTGCATGAACCCTCCAATATGCCAAAATAGGCGTTTTTATTTGTATCCCAATAAGTCCGATGTAGCATTGTGCAGTATGGAGAGCCTGAGTGCAATATGGAACATAACATAAGATAACATTAATCCATACTCACCTGCCATTTTAATGACAGGCAAACGTGTAAGGCAACACTCACAGTGATAGCCAGCCGTGAATATGTACAAGAACAAACCAACAAAGGCAGTCTAGACCCCAAATTCAAGGAAGGTTTCTTTTTCTGACACTTTTGGGTTATTCAATAAAGTAAGAACTCTCAATGAGAATTTCAACTCTAAGGCCAAAGTAACTGACCTGGAGAATATTTCAGTTATTTCAAATTTAATCCTTAAAGGGACACTCCAGGCACCCAGACCACTTCTGCCCATTGGAGTGGTCTGGGTGCCATCTCCCACTACTCTTAACCCTGCAAGTGTAATTATTGCAGTTTTTTATAAACTGCAATAATTACATTGCAGGGTTAACTCCACCGCTGGTGGCTGTCTACTAGACAGCCACTAGAGGGCACTTCCTGATTCATAGCAAAGATTTTCTTTGCTAGAGTGTCGCTGGACGTCCTCACGGTGTGTGAGGACCTCCAGCGTCGCTCAGTTCCCCATAGGAAAGCATTGAAAATCTTTTTCAGTGCTTTCCTATGGGGAGACCTAATGCGCGTCATTGCTGCGCATACGCATTAGGTTTCCTCAGCCGGCGGGCGGGATCAGGGACCTGGGATGGGAGGTGGGAGGGTACCTGCAGTGCCAGGAAAACGGATTGTTTTCCTGGCACTGGAGTTTTCCTTTAAATTTGAAATACACATTGAATTCCCGACAATTCTCACTTTAGTGAATAACCCTATTTATTTTTGGCATTTGTATTTACAAATGTGTACTATCCGTACTCATATCTAGACTACTTGCAAAATTTGTCTTGGAACTAGATTCATAAAGTGAGCTAATTGCTGTGTACACGAGAGCCTTGGCAGCAGGTATAGGCAGAAGATGTATAGGCATACACAACGCTGTGTGGAATTTCCAGATGGGCAAATACATGGCCTTTTAAGGATGAATTATGCTTGGCCTGGATCATCACTGAGTGTATAAAATCTATGTGAAATTAGTTATGTGAAATTCTGACTTCCCATGTCCCAAATGCATTTATAATCATGAGTGTTGGAATGCATGACAATGAGACTAACAGATGACACAACTGTGAACTCCCTTGAGCGCCACATGGCTTTTAAGAGCTTCCTGGTTCTGGATAAGCACTATCTAAGACAGATAAAAAAAATAAAAAAATAAACAACAGTCATTGTTGTTTTACAATTATTTGTTTAGAACCAGAAACATGGGAAAGGTAGTGTGTTTTGTGTTTATCATACACATATGCATTTGAAAGCATTTCTGGTCTAGGTATAGAAAGATGAGCAGAGTGATCTGTTACATGGGATTCCAGATGAGGCAATGTCCCAAGCATTTAACTCCAGATGTCATGGTAGGAATTTGGTTTGTTTGCCTTAACCTCTAAAGTCTTGAAGAAACCTCCATTTGCAAGCGGTTTATACCATGAACATGTAAACATTGTGATTCTATGTCTGCATGAAAAAAATTGTTTCATTTCCAATTAGATGTTAGCTTGCTTTACATGTTTTTATCTCCTGCTTTGTAAATTGAACTTTCATCACACACATAGGAGGCCCCTGCAGGGCCTAGAAGGCTATTAAAAGATCAGGTGATAACACATTCTAAATTAAACAGAATGTGCAATAAAATAAGTTTAAACATTAGATCTCTCTTTATGGGAAGTGTTTAGGAAGGCTGTGTAAGTCACATGCAGGGAGGTGTGACTAGGGCTGTGTAAACAAATTGATTTAACTCCTAAATTGCAGTGAGACTGCAGGGACAAAATCTATACACCAAAACTGCTTCATAAAATTATTCGGGTGCCTATAGTGTCCCTTTAAGATACAATTGTCAATTGATTTTAAAGTTTTAGGACAAACCACTGAATCTTTGTATTTTAACCATTCAGCCCAAAAGCTACATAGCAAAGTTTTGTAATTACTATGGCAGGATTTTCATTAAAGGACCACTATAGTGCCAGGAAAACAAACTTGTTTTCCATGCACTATAGTGCCCTGAGGGTGCCCCCACCCTCAGGGTTCCACTCCTGTGGCGCTGAAGAGGGAGGAAGGGGTTAATCCCTTACCTTTTTTCCAGCGCCGGGCTCCCTCGGCACTGGGACTCTCCTCCCTCCTCTGACGTCCCTGGCTGAATGCGCATTCGCGGCAAGAGCCGTGCGCACATTCAGCCAGTCCATAGGAAAGCATTCTCAATGCCTTCCTATGGATGCTGGAGTCTTCTCACTGTGAAAATCACAGTGAGAAGCGCGGAAGCGCCTCTAGCGGCTGTCAATGAGACAGCCACTAGAGGCTGGATTAACCCATAGGTAAACATAGCGGTTTTTCTGAAACATCTTGAGTAATGCTGAACGTCTTGAGTAATGCTTTCCTATGGGCAGTTTGGAGCTGAGAGGCGGATCGGGGCGGAGGGATCCCCTGCACCAAGGGAGTCCGGCGCTGGAGAAAGGTAATTGTTAAAGACACACACACTCTCACAAACAGATGCATACACACTAGCGAACAGACGCATACACACTAGCTAACAGACACACTCTCACGAACAGACGCATACACACTAGCTAACAGACACACACTCAGTGACAGACATACATACACACTCACTGATAGACACATACACACTCACTTACAAAACACACTCTCACTAACAGACACCAAACAGACTCACTAACCGACGCACACAAACTAACACACTCAGTAACACACACAGTAACACACTCACTAACACAAAAACTAACACTAACACACACTCTACCACACACACACACACACAAACACACACTTAACCCCCCAGCCTCCCTACCTTTGGGAGTGCTGAGGGGATTCCCTGGGGTCCAGTGGTGTTGCTGGGCGGCCGGTCACCGGGCAGGATGGTGGGCGCGCGAGGAACACTCTCCCCTGAGCGCTCTCTGTTCAGCTCCCTCGCGCGCTGTGTACTGATGCCGTAGCCGGAAGATGACGTCATCTTCTGACTCCGGCATCACTGCGGTGCGCGAGGGAACTGGGCAGAGAGCGCTCAGTGGAGAGTGCTCCCTCGCGTGTCCGCCAGCCCGTCTGCTGGGTTACACCAGGGCCAGCCAGCCTCGGTGGCCCTGAGGTGGCCAGCTCCTGGGCCCTCCAGGAGAAGAGGCTGGCCACACTGGCGTACATACCGGGTCGCAGGGCTGCTGGGTCCCCTGGTGGGCCCGGTCGCAGCCGCGACCTCTGCAACCCCGGTATGTACGCCACTGGGCCAGCACAGCAACCCTATCTGGGGTCTCTCTTCTCCAGTTGATAGACATAGTTTAAGGTGAGGTGGGTTTAGTGCCTTAAATGTCCTTAATTATGGTATATGAAATGATAAGAATGTTAGAGTGCAAAAATCTAATAATGTGGTATGTTATTGCCACTGGGAGAATAAGGAGAAAGGGGTGTACTTACACTTAGTGGGGCTATAATGTAGCTCCTTCTAATGCGTTTGAGCGATATAATCCCAGCTTGTTGATATAGTTGTACCTCCTGTTCCGATATTGGTTATTCCATGAAATATAAAGCAAAAGCAAACATAAAAGCAAAAAATAAAACAGTGATGATATAGTGTAGTATTTTTAGGCAAAAGAACACTGCATACGTAGATAAATAAACTAGGGTATTGGGTATACTTACCCACCTAGAGAAGCGGGGGGCATCCAACTATTTGGGAAGGTGTACAATAGTAGGACCACCTAAAATTATTTAGAGCCCTCAACTGCTACCCATGGGTGGGGAGCAAGGATAGGACATTAGGTCTTCCCCTTGAATATTATATTTAGGACCTCCACCTGCCACCCATGGGTGGAGGTCAGGGGAAGGACATCTAGGTCCTATAATTATCTCCCCCATCTTATGGGTGGTGACATGGAAGGAACTATGTCTTTCCCCTGTTATTTCACAGGCCCCATCCCCATGGGATGGAACCTTTTCTAGCAACGAAGCAATGGATGCTCAGTCGCTAGTTTTATATACTATACAGCAGGTGGGGGCCTATGGAGGTTTTAAATCTCCCTTATAGTAATATGGGGGTCTTATTGACCCCACATGTTTTGTTTTTTAAACTATTTTATGTGGCTGCTGGTTAGCAAGTGCTGGAGAGCTGCCACTTTATTAACCTTTGTGCCACTGCGTGTTTTTTACTGTTCGTCTGCTGGCTGATAGCACTGCCAGCCAACAAATAATCAAGATTTTTTTTGTTAAAATCTGCACCAGAATTGGAAGCATCTATCCAGAGGCATTTGGTTCGATTTAATTCTTAACTAAATTTAGGCCCGTTTGGTGCCTGCATTTTAACATTTGTAAATTGTTAAATAGTGCGAACAATGTTCAGATTTTGCAATCTGAATGGCCCCTATACAGCTGAATGGCTTTGCCCCATTC